ATGTAATAATTCACAATAAATAATAAGTTATAACATTATATGTATGTACATACATAGTATATTATTATACAAATAAATTTCAAAAATGTATCCCCTCTGGATAACGGACAACATTTTGGTGACCGAGAGTGTCGGCTATTCAGAGGTTTCACTGTATACAGTAAAACATGTCTTGTGCGGAATTGTATGGGAGCAATAAAAATTTCCGTTCTAGGCAGGTTTCCATATAACTGAATAAAAAGGAAAATTCCGAACAATAGAGTTATAATATTCTGCACGATTAAGGTTGTAACATTTTTCGGCTAAAAATAAAAAATGCCATGGCTACAATAAATTTTGATTTTTAGTAAATAATTACATATTAAATATTAATTAGATATTTTAAAATAATGATAAATTAAAATTTGAAGAACATATTTAGTAGATAGTAGATATGTACTACTTATGTATTAATAAAATAAAGTAATGAAAACCACATTGCAGAACTTAAAGGTTACCTCGGTCATTCAAAAAACCGTTCAGTCAGAGGTCGAGCCAGCGGAGGCGCATCAATCCACGCAAACTCATCCTTTCCTTCCGAAGAAATTAAAATCACCTCCAACTTCGAAGTAACAGCAATAACTGTTCACATAAAAGAAAAAATAACTATTTGTAACATATATCTTCCAAACCAACATGATTTCGAAATCGAAAATCGAGAAAATATAATTAATCAATTACCACGACCCTATATATACTTACCGGTGATTTTAAGTCATAACACTCTATGGGTTAGAAGCACGCATATTGATATTAGAAGAAAAAAAATAGAAAAATGCTTTTTTTTTTTATTTATTAATATAATTGTTTCAATACACCTGGTATTTTTACAATGTTTTTACAGTGTTGCTATTTTACAGATTACAAATCATAAAATTATGTGTATAATGTATATAATATAAATAGTGTATTATAGTTTTGGTTAGCTATGAGTCTGGATCAGTATCTGAGGTTGAGGTGTCTTCATTGGGATCTAGTAGGATGTCCTGAGGTAGCCGAGGTTTGAGGATATGGATTGATATACATATTTTCCGATATGACATGGAGATACCGAATTATTTCAATCTTACTAGACTGGGGCGTTAAAGGTAACATTTTATATTTCATACATAATTTCCTAATTGACCGAACATTTAAAGTTACTGTTGGTGGACAACATTCATCCTTATATAACCAGAATAACGGAATTGCCCAAGGCTCTTCCATAAGTGCAGAATTATTTCTAATCGCAATAAATTACTTATCTAAACTTATACCCAGCCCTGAAAAATTACAATATATGCGGATTACAGCAATATTTTTTTTCGACACAAATGTATTGACACTTTAGGAAAAGAATTACAGAAATACACCAACTCGTTAAACGATTGGAGCAAAAATACAGGGTTCAAATTTGCACCAGAAAAATCCCAGTTCATAATATTTTCACACAAAAAAATTTAAAAAAACCTACTTTAAAAATGGACAACAAAATAATTCCTAACACAAAACACTTAAAAATATTAGGTCTTACCTTCGATGAAAAACCAACTTGGAACACACACATAAAAAAGCTAAAAGACAAAGCCAAAAGAAGACTGAACATTATCAAAGTACTTTCAGGTACGAAATGGGGAGCAGCCTCTAAAACCCTAATAAACATTTACAATTCACTAATTAGATCAATTTTGGATTATGGATCCCCTAATATATGACATCGAGAAACTCAGCACTGACAATGCTTGACGTTATCCATAATGCTGGCCTAAGAATGGCATCCGGTGCATTTAGAAGTAGTCCCATAAACAGCATACTCAATATTACAGAAGAACAACCACTTAATAATCGGAGAAATCAACTGATGCTGCAATACGCAGTAAGAACAGCAACCGACCCGAACAAACCAACCTATTCCACAGTATTCAATAACAGATTCGAAAATACTTTTAACAACAACAAAAAATTAATACAACCTATGTACAAAAGAATAAAAGAAAAATAGGGAGAACTAAAATTAGAAATAAGTAATATATTGACTAGAGAAATACCCGTAAAACCTCCATGGACAGCGACAAAATACTTGTTTGACATGTCGATAGCGATTTACAACAAAAAATAAACCACAAATCTTACATACAAAAATGCATTCTATGAATTAATAAGCACATTACCAGACCATATACATATATATCACGACGCCTCAAAAACAGACAAAGGGGTGGGTGTTGCTGCAGTTTTCCTACAAACCGAACTTTCTGAACGGTTGTCTGATAATTGTAGCATATATACAGCTGAGGCACTAGCTATATATAAAGCACTATCCTATATAATAAGTGCCAACCTGTATAATAATAAGTACATAATTTTGACAGACTCCGTGAGCACTCTAGCTAGTCTTAGTAATATTAATAACAACAATGTTATAACTAATAAAATAATCAACTTGACTAATAAATTAAACAATAACTTAATCTTCGCATGGATTCACGGGCACTACGGAATACCTGGTAGGTAATGAAAGAGCTTACTTACTTGCCAAGGAAAAAGCCAATAACCCACATCAACTATCTGTGTGGAATATTAAATCCGACAAAGATACTAAAAAAATTATATACAACCAAATCAAAAATATCTGGCAAAAAGAATGGCTTAAAATGAATAATAAATTAAATGAGATAAAAAAGACTACGGACTACCTATCGAAAAATGGAATAACCCTATTGCCGGGTTGCATGAAACCGAACTTTAAATTTATATAATGAACAGTTTTAACGAGCCGTTAAATCGTTTTACAGAATCGTTTGGGTTGCACAAATCGTACAATAAAAATATATTGGTATTAAACATGATACCGAGGTTAGTGTAGAAATTTAAGTTTATCACAGAAAAAGTGATAAAATCCTATGATCTAGATACTGTATCAACCGCTGTTTGAACTTTTATTTTGAATATGTATAATAACAATAATTGCTAAATTCTACAAATTGTGAATTTGTAGTCTACTAGTCTGTACTTAATCTTTCTTCGGCGTTTTCGGTTCTGTTGTTTTGTACACATTTTATATGTTTAGTGTTTTTTTAGCAATTGTAATTACCTAAATATTATAAAAAATGTCTGAACATAATATAAATGAGAGTCAGTTAAAACAGAAACGTATGAGAGGAAAAAACTTTACTGAAAGGGAAAAAGAGCTATTAATTGACTTGATATTGCCTTTTAAGCCAATTATTGAAAATCAATGAACTGAGATCGAAGACGACAAATCGCTTGTGATACACGTCTTATTGTTCTACAAATGGTCGATTTATGTACGTGCACATGATCTCCAATGACAGCCTAATGAATTATTCCAAAATATTTATAAACAAATTCCTACCTAATATAATATCAACTATCAAGTAGTACACCACGATCGTGTGCAAAAAATATTAAATTTTATATTGTTAGCTTAAATTAAAAATATAATATAATATACGTTTAAAAAATATTTATTCAACCATTTGCATGTGGTCGTGAGTAATATTGTAGCCTGGGGATTTGATCTAAAGGATTTGATCGATCTCTAAATAACCTCGGTCTAGGTAAATGATACAAAATATCCAAAACAAATTCATCATCGGAAATCGATAAACTTGAATCAGAACTCGACATTTTTACTATTTTCGGTTACAGCTTATAAGTATTAAGAAAAAAATTTAGTAAGTACGACCAACTACAGGGTAGGTATAGTGACGAGTGACGACGTACTACTGACACCTGAATACGTATGCGTGATAACTGTAGGATTATCGAATGATTAAAATTTAAAGAGCCGAAATCGGCCCATTAGTTTAATGAGCTGGTAACCTATATTTTAACGGCCTAATAAAACTATTGAACGTTTAAAGATTGTTTAACAGATGAATAAAATTTTAATCATTTGTTAGCGCGCTAACGGCTCGTTAAACATTTAACGGGCGTTCATGCAAAAGTAATAAATAAAGTCGTACTAAATCGCCTCAGAATAGGCCATACGCATCACACATTCACACATGGCCACCTCATGAAAAAAGAGCCACCAAAAATATGCCTTACATGCGGAATTACAACTACAATCAAACATATTATCACCCGATCACCGAATGCAGACACAAAAGAGACACCTTCACGATGCACTGAGCCCTGACAAAAAATCCATCCAAAATATAATTTTATTTTTGAAAGATACTGAACTGTACAATCTAATTTAAGTTATCATTATATGTAAAAACAAGCCAATGATCACGTTATCGAGGCTTTTCTTCTAAATAAAAAAAAATAATAATAATAAAGTAAGCAAATTAGGTAGGTTTTAATTAAAATACAAAATAAATGTGGGTATCAAAAATATTTTTGTCTATTTTTTGATGTGTTTTTCCGTCTATATGAGGTGATATGATTTGCGGGACCAATAAATAGCTTTCCGTTTTACGTTAGACAGGTTTCGTTTTATCAAGGGTTTAATCCTATGCATGAACATTAGAGTCTAATTTTCATGATCCTATGTTAAATTATAGAAATATGCAGGGACCATAAAAATGTCCGCACAGAAAGGATTCCGTCTTATCAAGGGTTCGGATAAGACAGGTTTCACTGTATGTGAATTGTGAAATCACAGTTTCATTCCGCCCCTGTAAATAGTAATATAGCATTATTAGTAAATAAATATTAATAAGTAAATATTACTGTACAATTTATGTTTATGTACCTACCAACCTACATATAACAAATATAATAATTGATACGTTTTAAATTATAGTTATTGTAATCTTATAATAATAACGTTTAACCACAAATTAAGATATTTAGGTATCTTTATTCGCGAGTCACGACATAGTCAAGTAGTTATAACTTATAAGTTATAACTACAGAACAGAAGAAAGTTCTGTGTAATATTTTATGACAGGTATTGACCACAATCGCTCCGACACTGCATGGTCATGGGTGGTCGTGGTACGAGTTATGATAAGAGATAAGTTAAAAGAAAGAATACCGAATAATATTATTTATCTATAAAAAATATAAAAAAGTCATAACTTTAAAGTTAAAAATTCTCGAATCTTGAGTCCTGTGTAAAATTTTCAATATTTGGCAGGTGACGACGACACGAAATAATGACAACTTTCTTGAAAACCTTATTGTTGAACAGTAGAAAAACTTCAGCCTTGTTGCCTTCTTATTTTAATTTATCGACAAGATTGTTCTGCGCCAAATCACTAAGATCCGAGGAGAGTAATATCGACCAAAATGATTTAGCGTCTGTTACTTCTCAGGTAATTAAATATAGTGTAATTATAGATCAGCGATTAATAGTTGTCATCAATCTATGATTAATGATCACTCTTCACTGTTGTTGTTGTGTTTATATCATGCATACTGAAGTACTTAACTTTGTTTCATGTACTTGCAACTTAAGAACGAACAACTGGATAAGCTCTATAAAACCATAGAATTTGAATGTCGTAGCAACGATCGTGCAGTATTGCGTAGTTACACTCAATTTGCAACAATGGCTGCAAATGAACTAGGGATTCAAATCGGTAAATGGTATGTTGCAATTTTTATACATAAAAGTTAATGGTATATTACATAATCACTACAGAAATGATAGTATGTAAAATATTGAAAGTGTTGGTGCCCTCATGTATTATGTTGAATATATATATATAAATGTTTTTAAATAATTTAATCATTATGTATTTTACAAGGTATTTAAAATGTAAATCATACACAAATGTAGGTAATAAGTGACTTCCTTAATAAGGTTACCATAAGGTGACAATTTAAAATCAATACTTTCGGACTTCACTATGAAATTTAGGTTTCATCAAAATAATTCATTAAATGTGTAATTTTATAAATTAAAAAAAAAATAATAGAAAAATCAACTAATTTAATAACATAACATGAATTAAATAAATAATATATATTATTATGACTGTTGATATAAGTTATTTTTGTATATTTACATTTACATAGTATCAATTTATAAAATGTAGGTTTTAATTATTGACGAGAATGACTTTTAGATTAATTTTCTTAATCATGTTATATTATATTATTTAATTTAGAATTGCAATGCTATTGAAAATTATTGTGATAATGTACAATTTTATTTTTAGCTGGTCCCCACGTAAAGCTTATCACGAAAGGTATACATTATTACGTTCTATTCACGTCCATAAAAGGTGTAGAGTTCAGTATGAAGTAAGAACGTGGTTTAGATTCATTCATTTCCATAAGCTAACTGGTTCTACTGCTGAAACCTTTTTAGAGTATGTTCAAAGGAATTTACCGGAGGGAGTTGCGCTTAAAGTAACCAAAGTGAGTTATTTTCATCTTAAGGAATTTAAACTAATTTTAATCAAAAATATTTTTTAAATTGTTGCAGGTACTTTTAGAAAATATTCCTGAAAGTGTTTCATCTCACATGACTTCGGAAATTGCATAAATGATATATTATATATTACTCTTAGTTGTTAATGGTGAAACATATTTTTTTTTTATGTAACACAATTTCTGTATAGTAAAACCTATAAATTAAATTTGACTGATTTGTATTTGATTACTATGAAATTTTACTATATCAAATATTATTATTTCAAGTATTTATCAACTGGGTATAAGCGTACATGACTTGTAAGGTTCCTCATATTAAGAATGTGTTCACTTCCTACCAATGCAAAAACGGTAAACATAGTTATCACGGTTGTTGGCCAATTTTTTTTTTTTTGATTAAAGAGAACTCCAAATCCATATGAGTTGATACAGTTTTACAAACCTACTACATAGCAAATCTGCATTCAGCACTTGATTTGGTGTTTGCTTTGATATTAGAGTGAATTGACACAGAAACCAGAAACTTTTAGTTTGAATTTCGATTTATATACATAAACATTTACAAAAAATATATCCCCCTAACAATTTTACGGTAAAAAAAGTGATTCATATTACAAAACAGTAGTAAGTATTAGAAAAAAATATTTTTAATTCTTTGGGTATGCTAAAAATTGAATTTATTAGAAAATAATGGGGCTGTTGAATAACCATACTTGATGAACCACATCCTGTAGAAGTATTTATGTGGAAGTCAGTCGGTTAATTCTAATTTATGGATTTTGAGCGATGAATATGTAGATATTACAATGACATATATATTTTTTATTCTTTTTGTGTACACCGCCTTTAAAAAAAATAAAAATGAAACAATCTTCAACTTCAATATCTTTTTTGAAGGAAACCAGGCAGGGAAATTTAGTCGGTATTTTAGGGATCGAAAATAAAAATTCCATAACTTAAATAATTAGAAAAAACTAACATTTTTACTCAAAACCAGTTTTGACAATATAAATTGTTTGTGATTATAAATAAATGACTATGGATACTTGAAATCTTCACCAAATATTAGCATTTGCCAAACACAGTGCAATAATGGGTACAAATTATTTTCAATATTATTTTTTCTCTTCTTGAGTTTATAGACATTTTAATGTTTCAATAATGTATTTAGTATTTTTATCTATATATGTTGATGGATGTTAAAAGCTTGAAAATTTGATATAAGGTTTCTCATAAAATGCTTATAATGGAATTAATATTAAATATTGAGTGTAAATCTACAATGATCTCTATGCAACTTTTAAGTTAGTATTTTGTAGTTAAAAATAAGTAAAATTTTTAATATTCATACCTATTATTTGAAAATTTAACACATGGGTCCCAATAGCCTTTACTTTATAGAAATACAAAAAAAAGCTGACTATAGTTATACAATAGTTTTTTATGCACATCTGAAGTTTCAATGAACTAGGATATCTACATGCAAAATCACAGTTTTAGTTTTATCAAATGTAATTCAAAGAGTTTTAACCATAGAAATTTGAACTATTCAACCATTACTTGAAGTTTTGGATCAAAAAGTTTGTAAATGGATAGGTAAAATATGTCAGTATTGCTTATAAGTTGTTATTTAGTATGTATATTTTATAGGTACTTGAAATCAGTGGCGGATCCAAGGGAGGGGTAAAAGGGTAAATACCCCCCCCCCACCTTGAGCTTATTATATTTAAAATTTAATAAATTTATTTTTAAAAAAAATGTCTGTTGAATTTTTTCGTTTATTTTATAAAAATGTTGTCATTGATACCAGTTTGTAAGAATAAATTCTAAATGGTGAATATTAATAAGGAGATAATAAGTAATTAATGTTTATATTAATAAGTATGTTATTAAGTAGGTATGAATAGTATCTGATGGATATATTTTTATTAACCCCCCCTTGATAAATTTCTGGATCCGCCCCTGCTTGAAATTGTTATTTATATCATTATATTTAATTATACTCAATGACATTTTTAAAACATTTAGAATTATACTAACCTGTTGCCTATTAATGTTAAAACAAATAACTAGGCTGACGGACAGTCTCCACTCAGAATTGTGTATAGAATACAATGATTTCTCATTGAATTCAAATTTAACACATCTAATTACACAGCAAGGCAGTAACTAATTTAATATAGGTATAATTGTATTTATTTAAATAATAAATCCCATAAAAAAAACGGGCTTTAGCTCCTCCAAATAAGTTTGTCAAGCACCGCTATAAGAAGCAATAGACTTAATAACAGAAAATAAAACAACCAGTGCAGTGAGTAACAATCTACTTGTTTTTCTTTATTATTATTTTCCAATATTACATAGTATTGTATTGTACACAGACTTGAAAACATTTTCTTGTTTAAATTGTTTTAATTTTGACACACGTGATTTCACAATACAAGTTGTGTGCCATACATAAATATTATATATATTTATAAGGATTTTTTTCTACAGAGTATATATATAAATATATATTATAACGATAAGATTTAATCTGTTAAATATTATAATTGTCCATAACATTAGTTTTAGACAACGCCCATAAAAAAATAAAAATAACAGAAATTAATAAGAATATTTTTATATATTATATGTGTGTGTATGTATACAATAAACTTTAAGTAAATTAATAAATTTGTAATAGTTAAAAACTAAAAAGGACGTAGTTTAACATAGTAATAATTTTTCTTCTATCGAAATAACAAAAAAATATGTAAATAACAACATAATATTATATATTATATAAACATGTCGCGACAAGAGTGTTAATTTTAAATGCAAAGGTCATAAACATATATAGCAACTTTATTCATTATAAGAACACGTCATGTTCATTTAATATTATAGAACATAATGGAAAAATTAATAAACCTCTTAAGTTAAGTACGCTAAAGCTACATTCATTATAATATTATATATGATTTTATAATATATTTTAAACTATAAATAACTCTAATGTAATATTTAAACTAACTACTAATTAATAATTATCTGATAGTAAATTTGGTAACAATATTTTCCAACTAGTTTGGACTTAACCATTATATAAAGTAAAAGAAAATGGCACCTGTAAAGAAATATATGATATATGAGAGTTAAGTTTTTTTTAATGAATAAATTGACTTTTAAGTCTTTCCAAATACTGTTTGGAAAATGTCAGTCTTTGGAATATTTTCGTTTCAATAAAATTTAAGTAACTGAATGAATATAACAAAAAAAAAAAACAGTATATTATTTATATATTCATTAATAATTTGTATGATCATTAAAAACAATTATCACAAAGAAAAACCCAAGATAAAAATCACAGTCAATAAAAATATCCAAGAATTCGGAAAAAGAAGAAAAATAGAAAATAATATATAGAACTGTAACAAAGTATTCTCTGTAAATAAACAAACTCAAACAAAATAAAACCATTTAAAATGGTATTCTGCATACAAATTCATGCTAATTATTAACTCCCAAATGTCTGAAAACATTTTGTGCTTTACATGTCGAATCCAGACATACATTATTGCACATTTAACAATTAAATGACTAAAACAACACAAGTTGAGAGTAAAAACAAGATACTTTGATTCAATTTGAAATACAAAGAATTGGCAAGTGAACTCAAGAAACTATAAAATTCAAAAAATTTGTGCTTAAATAATACAGAAAAGATACCTACTAGCCATGTACATAATATAACAATAATATGATTATCTTTTTGTTCCATTTGTTTAAAACACTGGTTGGTAACTTTTAATATTATATCAATGTCATTATATACATTATAAGTACCTAAAAATAAATTGTAATTATACTGAGACCAGTTATTAAATTTAAAACATCACAGGACAAGAAACCAATTCATCGACGCAAACACAGTAATAATTATTAGTTACTGAGAAATTGCATTCGACTGCACATATATTTGAATTCAATATATTATTTAGAATAGAAAAAATCAAATTTGGTTTTACGTTAAAATGTACAAATTTTTCTGATATAATTTTAGGTAATGTTTATATTATCAGATAGTAATTTTTTTCTTCAAACATATTTTAAATGGTTTCAAGTCCGTAGTTGTTTGTACACCAGATAATGCAATTAATCGTTGCGTGAATTCTCGTTACAGTAGTTGTATGTTTGATTAGAGGGTGTGTTTAAACTAAACATATAGCACTAACAACTAAAAACGATCCCATAAATATTTATAAATTGTTCAACAATGATAAAAACAAAATTTGTACTCATGTGCTTGTGAATCACAATGTAGTTTGTAAAAGATACTACTGTAAACGAGATTTGCGTTGAGAGGGAGACCTTACATGATAAATTAAAAACGTTTGTCGTCTTGCATTATTGTTTGAGTATGGTCACTACCTCTTTAACTTTAAATTTAAAAAGTACGCAAATCGCTTAGACTACGTCTACCTTTATCTGATAATGGCCTGCAGATGGACGTGGTTTTTTTTAAGCTTCCAAATACTGGAGGCCAAGTTGCTTGATCCAGTGTAACTGGTTTTTTTGATTCAGGATCTGATTCAAAAACAGAATCGTTAGATTCAACCGTGTCAATAGAAGCTGATGATTTGTCTGCGCTGGAAAAAGGACTGAATAAACTGAGAAGCTTGTCAACTCCAGATGAAGTGGCTTGATCCAAACTCGTGGTGATGTTTTGCAATGAAGTCAACAAAGGTCGAGAGCCCATAACCCAGGACACTTTCCTTGTTCTTTGATCTTCTTTTTTGGTATCATTTTTATGTTTGCACAAATCTAAGCTATCAACCGTGAGTTCTAAATTGGTAGGACCAAAAGAATCGTCTGATAATGACTCATTACTAGCTGTCGGTGCTTTATCATTTAAATTGTTCAATTTAGTCACCTTAAATCGACATTCTTTTTGTTTTTGTTCGGACACTTTAGACACATGAAAACGATTACGTGTGGAAGCTATTGAAGGACTACACATAGGACTACTAGCAATTGGGCTGTGTATAGGACTGGGAGCAGGACTTCGTAATCTACCACTACTTCCTCGCAACATAGGCAAGTAATCATCTGAACCAAGATAATTGGGATTTTTGAGTGAAGTATACTGCATCATTAATGATTCACATGTAAGAGATATCTTTCTAGAATCTACATTTGGTATTTTTATAGCTCTTGTTATGTTGGACTCATCTGTTATCTGGTCAAGTAGATTGTCGTCAATTTGTTTACTGCTATGTCTTTTTTCATTTTCTTCACACATTTGTTTGATCTGCTCTGTTAAATTTGTATACTCCTTTGTTGTGTCCTGCATTCAATAAATAAACAAATAGTTTGGAATAATTATGTTGATGTACAATTGAGAAAAAGCATTAAAATTAATATTATTATGAAATGAAAAAACAATATCTTACAGCTGCATATTTGTTACGTGGCAGAGGATCTAAATCTAGGCGTGTAATTCTAAAATTTTTTGAAATGGACTCTTTCAAATTTCTCAGCCCTTCAACTTCAATATTATTATCACGTAAATCTAATCTCTGCAAAAGCGAACAATATTACAATACATAAGGAGGATTAAAATGTGTAAATATATCGAAAGAAATTTATAATAAGAAGGTTCTAAGTACAAAACAAAGACTACTTTTTTAAAAAACTTTTTAGTTATAATAGTAACAATTTCTATTTGATTATCCTTATATACTATAGGAGCTTAATACTTTACGAAACTAGGAGGTTCATAATATTATTCATGTGATGGATATATATATAGATGCATAACTATTATACAAGTATACAGCTACAATATGAAAAATTTTTTAATTTAGGTGTATTAAATGTTTAAATTAAAATATATATTATGGAAAAAAAAGTTTAAAAACATTTTTAAACATTATTATTATTATTGTTTTGACAGTTTTTAGAACAGACATAATTCTTCTGGATTTATGATAAATACAAATAAAAAGCTTTTACAATTTTTAAGTAATAATTAATTGTTTTGTTTGAATAGGAAGTTCAAGTGTAATTCTTTAAAATGATACAACAGATGAAAATGTCTTTAATTAGTGTAACTATTTATTAAAAAAAAAATTATTTTTATCTGTTGATTGTTGTGTGTAATATCTATCACACAAATAATAAATAATAGTTAAATTCTTTATATATTCTATGATCAGCCAATATTATTAAATACTAAATAATTGTTATGCATATGAATTGTAATTCTATATAAATATCTAATAACACTATATTTACTTAAAATAAAGAGATTTTTAAAATTATTAGTTTAACCACAAATAGATACTTACTTGTAAAGAAGTATTGGCTTCAAGCGCCTCTGCTAAATGTTTGACCCCTTTACAAGTTATTTGGGTGCTTTGCAATCCTAATCGTATTAAATTTTTGTTGTTCATCATTGGTATTTGAATAGCACTAGCCGTGGAGTCAAGTAAACAATTAAACCCAACATTGAGCATTTCTAATTTAGTTTCAGACCCCTATAAATAAAGAAAATAAATAAATAAAATTTATTAGTATACTATTATGGTTTGAAAAAAATGCATTTAAATTTTTTATGACAATTTCCATGATAAATTATTTCTAAATTGCTGAGTTTTTTCTTAAATGCATAATTACCATTAAGTTTGACAAACATTCCGAACACTCATGATTCAAGTTATTATTCCAGACAATTAAAATTGTCAAAGGAGAATTTTGATTTACAATGCTTTCACAAAGTAATTTAAACCCTTTATTTTGAATGTTATTATTGCTAAAATAAGTAATAATGATCAATTAGGTATTGATATGTACACAAATATTTTAGTACCTACTTATTGCGTGACTCATAAAAGTATACATATTTACCTTAAATCCAACAACTGCAATGTGGTATTACACTTAAGTAAAATTGAAAGTTGTTTAGCATCATTTTCATTTAAATAGTTTTCACCCAAGTAAAGTTCTTTTAATGTGTTATTTAATTTTATTAAAGACACTGAAACAAAATGTTAGAATATGTTTATGAAGATTATTTCGATATTTTTCATTTTACTTAATTAATATAAAAAAAAAATCAAACATAGATGGTTTCAAGGTTTATGTGATTACAAATAATATGATCTAGTTCAACTATTTTTAAATTAATTAAAATAATTGAATAAATATAATGATTTAAAATATTGTGTTTAAAAATAATCACCTAATGAAGTTAATGGCCGGTCTGCAAGATTACAATTTTCAAGTTTTAAGACACATAATTGTGAACCAAATTTTAATGAACGACCCAAAGAAGTCATATTTGATTCATTAAGTATTGTGTTCCTTGCTTCTAATTCTTCTAAACATTTTGACTGAAAATAAATTCAAATTTCAATTAAAAATGCTTTATTTCTAAAATTATTTTTATCAATCACCTTTTTTAACGTACGAGCACATGCTTGCCATCCTCTGGTGCCAATATCATTGTTAGAAGATATGTTTAAACAAATGGCAGATTCGTAAAAGTCTAACATATCAAACAATGCAATTGCTGTCTAAAAATTAAAATAAATATTTATATACATTTCTTATAAATTAAATATTATTAATATAAAATAAATAATTGTATTTTAAATAAGACAAATATATATAAATTAAAAAGAGAAAAATATGATACCTTTCTTCTTAATAAATAATTGTTGTAGTTTAATAATTTATAGGTACTCAACGAGACATATTTTCAGGAATTGTTATTATACATATAAAAAATATATTCAAGAGATGTATACTATTGAACAATTTTAAATTATCAGTTCATTAAAGATCAAAATTTAATTAGTGAAAATTGCATAAATATTAATATAACATTTTAACAGATCAATTTATCTTATCAATACTATATTAATTTAAAATCAGTAAGAAGTATTACACAATTCAATAGGTAGGTGGGTTTTTATTATTTGTTGATATGGAAAGTGTTGAAATGGTTTAATTATTGGTAGACCTTGGGATAAAAAAATTTACATTTACTAAATTAAAAATGGTTAATAAAACATTAATTAAGTATTTTTATTTTTGTTTTAACTAAATCATTTTGAATTTAGTTGCTATTTATAGAAAATTAAAATAATAATAGTTATTTTTGATCTGTGCGGCTTTCAAGCTAAGACAGTCATGTTTTTTTTTTTAAATGACTTACTCTTATACCTAATGTTTAATTTTTTTTAAGTTAATAAAAAAATAGTATTTAAGGGATCCCCCAGGTCATTCTTAAAAAAAATTAACAATAGGTAGGTACCTACAATGTACTAGATACTTATAATTGGCTAATCAAGTTCATGCAATAAAATTAATCAGCAAACTTATTTTATAGATATGAACTTTCTAAAGTCTACTTTTAAGATTAAACTTCTATGTCCTGATTGTATAATTAGAAACAGTAGGTACCCATACAAGATTTTGAACCAATTTAATAGAAAAGATAATATTAAAACATTTATTTTATTTTAACTTAAGTTGTCTTACATCATCATTTAATCCAGTTGCTTCAACATTTATAGTTTTAAACTGAACTCTTTTGAAAATTTCTTCAAGACTTTCCCAGTCGACATTGGTCAATAAAACACCTTTTAGATCCAGACATTCGTTCCTCTCCAAATTTGTGTTAATAGATTTTATTTGATTGAGGACCGAGTATAATGGATTAGTATTGTGTCTTTCACATGATTCTTTATACTTGGCTGTGAGTAACTCTATAGTTACGTTTTCCACTGAGAACAATAAAAAGTTCAATTATACATTGTGTTCCTGAGGCTAAGTAATGTAGGGAATGGTTAATTTAATATAATTAGTTATTTACTGGATTCCCAAGGATGCACGGTTTCAAGAACGCCAGTGACAATTTGACTTTCGTCATCCGGAAAAGATACATTGCGACTGATGTACGTTTTCTTGGAGTTTGAACGTAAACAAGACGGACCGACTGGTACATTTGATAGGGAAAGTATTTCGAAATTGCTAGGTAACGATCTGGATTTCCATTCAGTCATTACTGTGGGTGGTTGCTCAGTCGGTCGGTTTTATGGTATTGTGCAGAGGGAGCAGCAGCAGGAGCAACAGCAGCAGTGCATACTTTCGATGCCTCCAATCTAGCTATCGTTTGACCGCGTTCGCGAGGGTCGAAAAGTAAGAGGTTTTTTTGGCGGCGGTCGTCTGCGAGAGTAACGTGCTTCATCTATAACGCATCGTCGTTCGTCGTTGTCGTCGCTGGTCAACAGCGGCGGCAGCACTTCACTCGGTGTCGGTCAAAACTCAGCGTAAACAAACGGCAACGCTCGCGCACCGCATACATATATACGCGCGTAATATACATGTATAAATTTGTCGACGAGACACGGATTGAGACGAACCGACAATGACGAAAGTATAATAATATTCGATAATAATAATGTATCAGTAGTCGAAAATTGCCAATAAAATAATAATACAAATGCGAAAACGTCGGTCGACGACGGTCGGGAAAAAAATATTATTCATAATCGATGGTTAGTGGTTGGTAAAATTGACCGATTGGATAAGACATTCAACCGCGGTAAGCTGCTGTAGGCACTACCAACAGGCTACAAGCCTACAACTATAATAATCACATGCTGCGCTTGCGCATTAATGTGCTCACACGCCAGTCTCGCGGGCGTTTCGTTAAAAATTAAAAAAAAAAAAACGAAAAAATGAAAAATATCCTTAAGAACATTTTGTATGAGTGTTGTGGGTATAAAGTGGTATCGCATGTGAGCGTGTCGACAGACAACGATTAATGTGGATTGTATATATTATTTTTCATTTACTATTTTTAAAATGCCGAGAAATACTTTAACAAGTCATATCTCTGACGAGAACAATAACAACGTAGCATGTGGCGCCATCTTTTTGGTAGGGTCTGAAGTTTCTTACCGCCCCCATCACGCACATCGATATGGTGAAACAAAAACACAGGGGAAAATAATATAATATTTCTTCGGCTTTCGCAAAGCAAACCGTCGTTGCAAAGGTTTTATTTATTGGCAATCTGTTCATGATCGGTTTACACCGACCGTCGTCCATTCCAAGTGTCCGACTTTGTTCCGTTCCTCGCTCCCTTTGTTTCAGGGCCTCGGATCACAATGGTTGGCCGGCACATTTTTTAAGAAACTAAGGTACATATTACTATTTTATTATTGTAACACGAGAAATAAATACACACGATTATAACGTACATGTATGTATATAATATATACGTTGTATACGTATTATGCTTACATAATTTGTATGTTCTTAAATATATAAATATCTTGTGTTTCGTTTCTAAAGGGATCCCCATACCGAATGTTTTGTGGGGGCAATTGTTTTATTGATTGGTATTCGTTCCTTCAAAATGTTCACTGGTGTTTCGATGTATTGTATTGGAAATTAAGGTGAAAATGTCATCGACAGCTGGGAAGCAAAGTAACAACACTGGACAGGATGATGAGGGTGAAGAAGAGGACGACGAAGTCGGGGACCTGGTGTCTGCCATCAATTACAACACCATTAATTATAACACCATATCATCTATGGCAGTGCTCAAAGAAATACTTGGTAAAATTAATAAATATAATTTGCACATAGATATCATCAGCTGATCATATTACCTACTTGTATGATGGTCCATGTGAAACATGTGTTTTGGTTTTGGTCTATTGGCCCTCATTTCAATTGTATTTATTTAATATAATTTGTATAGCTAATAGACTAACCAGTGAATCTAATATTAAATTAACTTTATTCTTTAAATAAAAAAAAAATTTTTTTCTCAATGTATTCATAATTATATGATACATTATCATAAGATAAAACTTAATATTTACGATAAACTTATAAATTTAAAATTACAAAAAAATATTATGTACCTTTATTAATTGAGGATATAAATCTAAAATTAAAATCGTTTGAATTTTTACCATCTTAAATTATTCTACTCCATTTCAATTGAATGTTACAAAAATATAACTTCATTTATTATATATTTATTAATAGGTACCTAACTACTTAAAATATTGGTTATTTTAATATTTATAATTTTATTAATGAATGCTTCATACCAAATTGAAGTAGAACATCTAATGATAAAAGGTATCATGAAAAAATAATTTTGAATTCAATGTTTTATACTGGAGCTGTAGAAATTATAGCAAAAATATTTTTTTTTTCACCGTTCATAATTAATTTTAACATGGTTGTTCTTTAAATGTATAAGGTAATACAATAGTAGTAATACCAGTTTTTTGAGTATTAATTAATTCAATTATTACACTTGTTAGGTACCTATTTAAGATATCTAATTATCTAGTAGACATTACAACGTTAAGTTAGAAATTTTCGTCAATTAAAACCAAATTTTACAATTAAGTAAGGTTTAAATACTAAATTAAGTTGCCTTATTTCATGCTATTTATTGTTAAATTTAATTTTCTATCAGTATGTACAATTGATAAATCATAATACATGTACATGATTATATTTTACATTTTTTATATTTAAAATTGAACGCTATGAGGGTTTTTAATTTTATTACCAGTATAATTATTCTACAAAAACATAGGTAATATGTTGTCTTAGTTGTGTGTTGTTATTTATTATTATTGACTTACAGAGTGTTTTAGTTGAATGCATGATGCCTGATGATGATATGTGTTACCAAACACAAATTTTGAATGTACTTTTATTTTAATGAATGATTTAAATACTTAATAGGTAAAAGCCAATTATTTTGATTTTATTGTTATTTAATTTGTGCACTTTGATAGTAAATATTAAAAGTTTGTTGTACTTGAATGCATTATTCGAGAGCTACTACATATTAATAATGCTTAATTTTACAATGCCATAGGATTAAAATGTTTAAAATTTCTATTTGGCTTTTAGATTCTAAAGGTACAATAAATGTATTAGTGTTACTATCATATATTTTTATTTAACTGTAGTCAATTTATCATGTTGAATTTTTTCTCAGTTATTTTCCAAAAAATAAGATCGTAAAAACTGTTAGTAAAAGTTTATCTTAAAAAACTTTTTAAATTTTCAAAAGAACATTAGTAATCTTACAGTTTTTTATTTCAATCTAATTTGTCATTATTAATAGTCTACAATTTTAAACACTGAAACACAGCCACACTTTTGGATCTGTAGGGTAAGGAGGAACATTTTTTCTCTGTCAAAAAGCTCTAAAATACAATGTTAGGCTCTTCATAATTTGTTTTTATAGAAATTTAAATTACATAAAAATAGGATATTTAAACAAAAAATTACCTTTTTTTTGTTTTCCAATTTATTTATTTTGATTCATTTGGAAATAAATATTAATTGTATTGACTACAAAATTTTTATCATTAATAATATTAACTACATAATTTTCTATTCACAAAGTAATTTTTAAAATATTTAGACCAATTTTTAGGCTTTATATACCATGAATATATTCAAATCTACTATACAGCAGAACGAGTTCCTTGGTTTTATAATAATATTTTACCCGGTTCCTTGGGTTAAAGTCTATAAGGTTTTCCACAAAAACTTTCTAAAAGAATTTCTAGTTCTGAGTAATTTTTTTACTTTGTTTATATTTATTATGGGTCAATCTATTGAGCCTGAGATATTGATGATCATAGAATTAAAAATTAAAGAGTGTTTTGCATAGAGTCCCAAATTTTAATATATAATTCAGATCATGGTAGAGTGCAAGGAGGCCAATGAGGTAGGGGATCATTGGATCAGAAAATCTTAGTACAATTATTTCTAGACAAAACCTTTTTTTTCAGTTTGAACTGAGAAGAAAGGTATGCACATACCTAAAAGACTAAATCTAAATATATTATTGAGTCGTTATCTTGTTAGATATACTATTATAATGTTTTTAATACCTATAGAAAGCACACTAGATTTTCAGTGAATTGTTTTGAATTCCTTACCATATATTTTTTTATTGTCCAATCTACTCTACTCAAATAAGTGAATGTGGTGTAGGTGAATAAGAAATAAAAGACTTGGTTTGCAAGGTAAAGAAATCTCAGGTTAAAGGAAGTTTTATACAGATACATTTTAATTTTGAATCTTAAATATTTTGACTATTTTATAAAACCAATAACAACAAGTTATTACTTATAAATTTATAATGTGTACATAAGCTGTGAGTTATATTTTATTTTAATAAAATTGGCTATGACTAAGCAGTCACAAGCGTTACATTTTGAAAACTTAATACATAGTACTATTTGTCAGTAAAAAGTACATTTGTTAATTTTCACCTTATGTTATTTATTTTGTATTTCAATCATAATAATCTTATAGAAATTTATACACTTTCAAATAGAAAAATAACTATTGATATTAGGAAACGTTGTATGAGGAATACAAAAATGTGTTTTATTCATAGATTGTAAAACTGCATATATTTAAATGTTATTGATAAATGAAAAAGTTGTATTTTAAAGGAGCTTTTTTTACAATTTTGTTGTATTACCAGCTAAGATACTTCACAATTTTAGTTTTATATACTTTTTTTTTCATTAAACTTTAATCAATTATAATTTTTGTTAAAGGAGCTCAAGATAGTCCTGAAGACGCTGATTGGTTTCAACATTATTTCTTGCGTCACGTTAATCGCTTACCGTCACGAAGTCATCAGTTTGTTGGTAGACGTCTTTCAGAATGTAAAGAAGAAGATGAACATATTGAAAACAATTTAAAATCAATAGTTATTGATGACCAACTGAGTAGTGCTAACATAAGTGCTAAATCAACACCACCAATATCACCACTATCACATCATAGAGATAAACATTTTTTTGATGTTAATTTGGTAGAAATGAAGTCTCAGGCATCTTCAACGTCCACTTTAGATTATGATTCAATGGATGAAGTATGGATTAAACGTTACGATGCAGAAACAACAAAACGTCGAGCGGTGGGTATATAGTAAATTATATTTTCTTGTTATTATTCAATTTAAAATATTTGTGTGAGTTAAGAAATTTCTCATTCATGGCAATAAAGATGATTATTTTAATTATTTAATCAGATATGTAAGTATTTCTTTAAATTTAATAAAATAATATTCCTTCTAACCTACTTAGGTATTACTTTCATTGTAAATATTTTTGAAAAATCTAAAGCAAATTTAGAAAACCTAAAACGACATTTTTTGTAGGTATTTATGTAAACCTCAAAATCTGACCAATTGTTTAAATATTCATATGGTTAGAAATTAAATTATTATCTCATGTTTCTTAAAAATCCATAGTAGTCAATTTCCTGAGCTTATTTATGTTAGTATAAAATTATTTGTAGTTTCCATTAAGTATTTTAATTTGGTAATTGTTTAAGTTTTATAGTATAAGAGGGAGTTGGATTGAGCCTCAAAGAAGTGTATATTGTAGGAGAGCAGAGATAAACATGGTATAAAACTGTATAGTACTAAAGTTCTGCAATCTGAAAAACTGCATTATATATTTCTCCAATTTTTATCAAAGGATAACATTATTTTGTATTGGCTTGTTTCAAAGACTTCTTAACTTTAAAAAATAATATCAAAATGAATAAATAAAAAAATAGCTCTTATCATAAATTACTTTTTATCTAAAGTTTGATCCACACCATTTAGCTGTAGCATATATTCTGACATTGTCGTCAACAAATATTTATGTTACTGCTTATGACTAGAAATTGGAAACTCGTGTTTCCAACAAATTTTTTGTTGGTCTAGGCGGGACTTAACATTCAACATGGCTTCTGTGAGATATGTTTTACTATAACCATTTAGGTTATTTTTAAAGCACAAAATTACTAATGAGTCTTTGTCAATTAGATCTCAAATGAAAACTATTTTCTTTGATTTGGTAAAAACATTTGTTAACTTGCTCAGCCTTTATTATACTTAAATATTCAAATTTTAATAATTTCATTACTTTTATACATGTTGATTTTGCATTTTTCTGATCTCAATTAACACATGAATCACTCAAATAACTTTTGTATAACTCAACATTTCAAATGCGTTCAAAATAGTTTTCTCAGTTTTATCTTTAAAATTTAAAGTGATGTCCTCTGCATTCTGATTTTGTTGGTGTATTTTAATTTAGAATCATTAAATAGAAGAAGTTATTATTATATTTATTATTACAAATAAACTCCTTAAGATTGTCCTTATTTATAGAAACAATTCAATGTTTGAATGAATACTAAATGTACTAGAAATCAAGGCAGTTTTTTTAAAAATTAATAATGTTTCTAAGACTTATTTAAGATCATCACCTGCAAATATGGCAAGAGAAAATACTATCAAAGTTAATTTCAGTTATTAATTAGGGTAATACATTTATGTGCAATATGTTTATTATGATATATTTATAGAGAGCATAAGCATGCACACGGGGTAGTCAGAGTAGGCAGTAGGTACTTAACTACTCTGCAAACTTTTTTTCCTCAATATTCAATTTTATCATAATATCTAATCAATAATCTTCTAATATTCAAAATGAATTAGATGATCTAGTTTTTAACTTAAAAACAAATACAATATATTATAATGTGTGTGTGTGTGTGTTAATAAAATATTATGTATGACTAACCTGCCAGTAATGTCTATGCACGCTTATGATGGAAAGTACATTTTAGTATCATTTGTATAAGCTATAGTTTTTATTGTAATTATATATATATATATATATATAGAAATTGAGTTTTTTCCATCTATAAAGAAATATTAATATTAAATAAACTCATGATAAATACCTAGTTATAAACTTATAAATAGATATATTGTTAATCTACATATCTGAAAAAAGTTAAACTAATGACATTTATAAAGATTACTTAATTGGCTTTAAAACCTATTACATAAAGTTACTTAGTTACCCATTATATTTTATATTTTTAAACGTACAATTTACAATCAATTTATTACAATTTTTTTTGTACTATTGATTTATTAATTGTAATATATATATAAAGTTTAAATAAAGTACGTTTCTTTGACAATTACTATTTATTATTTTCCTTCATATTATAGTTTCATAATATAATTTAATGTTACTTCAAAAGTTTTATTACATGCATATTATGATATAATATATTTGTAAAAGTCTGGTAACATTATAGTAGACACTATTAGCACATACCTCCCCCTTAATCTAATTTTTTGTATTCTACTGAGCACTGATAAATATAGATATAGTTATAATAATAATTTTTTTTATTAATTATATTTTGTTTTAGGAACTTGGATCACAACCTTTACCAACTACAGCAGATGATTCAGATGGTCAGTGTGTATCAATTAACCGCCCGAGATCTGGTAAAATATATTTATGTTACTTTTGTACACTGTTAAACTTAAAAGTTATGTTAAATATTAAAATTTTAAACTTGGTTGAATGCATCTATAATAAATCATTAGAGAAACTTACAGTTGAGCTACTAATTAATTTCAATATTATGTTGGTTTAATTAAGTTAATAATAAACATAAATCTTTATATCAGTTCATATCTTATTAATCCGTTTGAATTTATGATTATCTCATTTTATTTGTCATTTCCAATTATGGAAAAAATAAACAATTATTTCAATATGAAGTCAGGGCTAACAAGAAAATGATATGTCTACTTTTAGTTTTTACCTGCATAGATCCAGTCTATCAAAGTGCATTCGATAATTTTTTCTATGATTTTTTATCCATGTATTGAGATAAGCATTGTATTTTGAGTATTGATTTAAAATTACATTTACTATTGACAATGTTTGAAATATCAGCTCATGATTTTTCAGGTAATTGTACTACAATTGCATTTTTCAAAATTTGTTTCCACTTCAATTTGATTTAATATTATTGACAGTAGACAACCATTATTTGTATGATTTAATTGATATAAATATTATTAGTGTTTCTATTATATAATAAATTAAATATTATTTTAATTTTAATAGTAGGAAGAATGTGAGGATTAAAATTCTATTCATATCATTTTTATTATTTAATTAGGTACCTGGAGCAAGGGAGGTTCTGCTCCTATACTCCTGCCTGCAGTGGTTGCTGCTCTGGCTAAAACTAAAAAAGGATTAGTTGGTGTGGAAAGACGTCAATCTGGAGATGATATATTAGCTAAAGGTACTCCAAAAATACAACCATCAAAAAGTAAAACTCAACAATTGCAATCACAACAAGTCCAACAATCTCAAACTACCCAAAAGAAGATGTCACCAAAACCTCGTTCTGGACAATCTCCTTCGCATGCTCGCAAAACAAATACTCTTTTAGATGCTTTTAGACCTAGATCAAAATCTGATGCAGCATCTAAAAAGAACAACACAATCATACTACAAATGAAAAATTCTATTCAAGTTAGTATTGTATTAATTTGTTGATTTATTAATATTATTATTTGAGAAGACGTTATACCCGCTTGTGTTGTCTCCGTCTTACATTTGCACAACATACCAAAAATTGTTATACGCAGACAAGAACCACTCAGGCTGTAGTTCAAGGTAAGCAACCAAATTTTTTCATTTTAAAGATGAGAACATTTACTGTGCAACTTGGTTTTTATTTTTTCAATATAAGAACTAAAAAAAAAGTTATTCAAGTTTGAAAAACTATATAGTAATGCATTTTTAAACAATATAAACTTTTTTTGTACTTGTGATATCAAAAAATTAAAAACAGTGCTACACAGTCTTTGTTTTCCTCTTTCTAGTATGAAAATTTGGTTGCTGAACTTGGATTACAGCCCAATTGTTTCTTGTCTGCATGAAACAGTTTTTTCTATGTTGTACATTTATAAGATGGCACAACACCATGCAGGTGTAGTGTCCTCTTAACTAGTTACTATCTTTTTCATAAAAAATTAATATTATATTTTAAAAAAACACAGAATACAGAGATACAATGTGGTTTCACTTTTCTAATTTCAGAAATGGATTGTATTTTAAGCAATCATGAATCATCAACAATTGTAGATTTTTCTTCAAAATTATTCAATGTTATTCTATTATTGGTAAAATAAAAATCTAACATATGCTTTTTCATAGTATTATATCCAATCTTTCCTGGTGTTACATAGAACTTTTAGAGCAATCCATATTACAATGTTTAGAAATAACCAATAATTATAATAACTATAATGAAAAGTAATATTGTTCAATACGTTCCTCACTTTATTCAAACTCTATTGTTTTTCTTTTTGCCTTGGAAAGTTGAGTGTTATTTGTAAATTAAATCATTAAACATTATTGTGTATATTGTATACAATATACATATATTGTTCAGTTGTTGTAACATTTTACAATTCAGCTTTATTAATCTATTGATATTAATTATAAAGTACACATTAGTATCTTATCTTATAAGAAGATAAACTAATAATGTGGGTTTGAAATTGTAGATGATTATTCTGTTATTTTTTCATCTTAAATACGTTATTTTACCTGACCGTAAATAATTTAAATTGTATTCTTAAATTACCTCTACAGTTAAAAATGTGTTATTTAAAACCATTTTGTTATTTAGAAATTATTCATATTAGTAGGTTATGTACACCTAACTCATAAATTATTTTTTATTATTGTTTACAGCAAACTCTTAAATCACCTGGTTCAAGTGCTCGAAATAGTATTAGTGGATCAAATATATCTAGTGATACTGTTGAATTTAATAATTTGGTACCACCTCCAACTCGAAATCGTTATAAGCAAACTGCAATAGCTGCAAGACCACGAGCTGGATCAGATAGTGCTAGTACCAAAGGAGCCGTTTCTAAAATGATGGATTTATTTAGACATAGATCTCAAAGTGCTGTTTCTGCAGAAGACAAACGTAAAGCTGTAAGTTCTATAGTTGATTACTTAATGCATAATAGGGATCACTAATTTCTTGGTCTCTAATCGTTCCATTTAAAAATGTTAGTACACAATTATAATTTATGAGTGGTAGTGAACAGTTTAGGCATTAAATAAAAACATTTTAAAAGCTCTCAAAAATGTTTAAAAAAGGAATATAAATGAATACAAATTTAGGAAAAAAAACTTGTTATGTAGTACTACAAAAAAAGAAAAATAATACATTTATTTAAGCATGTTTAATATATTTTTAATGCGATAAATATGATCTAACAATGGTAGTATAATGTTTACCATAATATATAGATACTGGTGGTATCACATCTTGGCGATTTGTGACATACATATAACATAACATCACAGCGCATGTTAAATGTTTATATTATTATATATTTAAATATATATATATAACTTATAACAAAACTTATTGACACTAAATATCAAAATGAATATTTCAATAGACAATGAAGCAATATTCAAAAATATTGTTAGAAACTGAACAAATTAATAAACTTATAATTGTATATAACTTCTAATGGTATCTTTCACTTATTATATTGTTTTTATAGTAAATTATATTTTTTATAAACTAAGTTGATAAATTACTAGCTTCTGGTGCACCTTGATTAAGAGAACTTTGTTATGTCGGTATTACAGTATTACAGCTAGGTGCCTAATTGAATATTTTTAGTTGTAAGTCTTATATGAGCAAGTCGGTTTTGTGATATCGGTATTAATGATAACTTGAACCTCTGGTGCTTTTTAATGTAGAAATGTTAATGAAAGCTAAGTTGTGCGTTAATTTATCAGTCATCATCAGATATCTAGACCTGGCTGGGTAATCTATAATATGAAGCATAAGACTTTAGAAAAAATACAGCTACTAATATTTAATAGACTAAATTGTGTTTAATGGTGAAAATATTGAAAAAAATACAATGGTACACACGTAACACAGTGACCTTACTTTATGTACAGTGCTTTAATTTTTAGGCGTTTCGTTTTTGATATAATATATATATATGCATTTAAGAACAAAAACACATGGACTTATTATAAACATTTTTTAACATTTACCTATTTGTTTATATGTAATAGACTTGTAAAATAATTCTTTACTTATATGCTAGGCAGGATAGGTTTTATAAAAATATTTTTTTTTAAACAAAAATTACCAACTTTAAAATGGTTTTTTACTGTACAAAGTAGTTTTGTTAGTGTTATAAAAAATAATAGTGGGTAATACAACTGTCGAAAACCATAATAATATATAGACTAATGAGTAATGAGTCTAGATGATGAGATATACGTGAGTATATTTTTGTAACTTTTAATCACCTACATGAGTTTGTATTATTTTGTTCATTTTGTTATAAAAATGTAAATCATTGTTATACTTTTGCTGAAGTTCATGCAGATGTAGAACAACGTTTTTTTACAATTGTTCTCCATTGAAAATTAACATGTGAAATGGTAGAGGTTTGGTGGGGAGGTGAACCGATGATATAATAACCAGTTTTTTGTGTGAGCCCTCTGACCTAGTTTATGAAATCGACTACCGGAACAATAGAAGTCCATTCACCAAACTATTTTTTTTTATGACAAATTAAGTTGCAGTGAATTAGCTTTGAGGTAAAGTTAAAATTAATAGTAGACTTTAATAAATTACATAGTAGTTACTGATTGGTTTTGGAAAACATTTGAAGACAATTGAAGTAGGCAATCGTGAAAACGACGCCGAGCTCTGCCGCCGTGTTTTCGAATGACCCTCAGCGGACATCATGCTGTAGAAGTGACGTTCTATGTTGGTGCCTTGGTGGGAGTCTTGAGCTGTGACCGTTGTTTAGTGAAAGTGTCACGAAAGACCTTGAAACAACACGACTAATTGCCGATAAATGTTATTATTATACATCGAGTCCCCTCTACCAAGGATTTTGTTGTCGGCTGTGGTACGAGTTCCAGTGCACTGCAAACATAATATTTTCGTACTGGTATTTTACTATATGGAGATACTCGCCTCCGTTCTGTTTTTATTATCCTCATCATCATTATTATTATCATTATTATAATATTTAATGATATTATTATTTTTGTTTTTCTCGCGTCTATATTTTCCATACGAGAGCACGCGCGCTCCGCTCACTCGTTCGCGTACACACCGAAAACCGGTTCCCTTCCTCAAAAATCAGTATCGCGTCCATGGTGCGTTCCATCCATCCTCCACGGTCACGCGATGGCTGGCGGTGGTGGTGCTCTCCGCGGCCGTCCGCGTTGCCCAGGTACGACACGATGTATGTTGTCCGCACACCGACGTTGTCAGTCCACCGTCCGTCGCTCTGTCGTCGCGGTCCTGTCCCGTACCCGTTACCGCGTCATCTGCAATTATCGTCTGTGTTCGCTGCACTGTGTGTCCGTCACCGTGTGTGGTGTGCGCGTACCGGCGCAATATGCCCGGGCGATGTCGTGGTATTTCCGATGGATGTTCAGCCAGCAACAGGATCCGTCCGCGGCGGTGCCGGCCGTCAACAAGCCACGCAGCCGGTCCCTGGACGGTGGAAATCCCGTCGATCTCGTCAAGCACCACCACCATCTGCAGTCGCCCGCCGCCGCCGTGGCCCCGGCGACTTTTCATCTGGCCACTCTACAGCCAGCCACTGTCGCACAGTCACCTATCCGGCTGCCCGTGACAATGCTTTCGGCGTTACCCTTCGTATGTATCTCTCGGTAATACACTAATACGCCTCCTCACTCCCCCCCTCGGTACTCATTATCTTTACTCTCCACTCCCGCCCCTCTCTTTCTCCCACCTTCTCACAATGTTTCACTTTATCTCTTCCCGCAGACCGTCGCCGTCGTAGCCCGCAGTGAGCTTACACAATACCCACTACAACTGTTATTATTATTATTTTACACGTACACCTGTTGCATAACGACAGTAAAACACGTCGCGAGTACTCGGGCGCCATTCCGTATTCACCAATCGCCACTATTATATGGCCATAGGGGAGGAGTATGACCTGCTGTGATAAGAAAAAAGGTCATTTTTTAATGTTGCAACGAATAGTTCAAATATAATGTCAAAGTTAAGACAAAATCAAACGAAACTCACCTGACTAATTAGTAGTTGTAACCAAATATACCTACCACGAGGCACAAAAAACAAACAAGGATAAAACATAATGAATAGGTAATGTAATTGGCAGTTAAATTGAGGAATTCAAAATATTTTTTTTTTAAATTCCGTGTGTAAAAACTTTTGGTCGGAAGTATATATAAAGATAAAACATTAAGTGTAATTGTTTATAACGTACATATATCACACGTGTATTACTTTTTGGAGTTGTGTATCTGAATGATATATATATATATGTAATGAAAAATAATTGACAATGCTGAGAAATATATGATATCAAATACAATTTTCATTTATTGTGTAGGTACCTAACATTAAAAATATTTATTTTGATTCAAAAATCAGTATTGATTACAAGTATAATTCGCATTATCCATATTCTAACTCGAATTTAATTTTATTTGAACAATTGATTTATTGTACAATAATAATCATCCTAAAATTGTATACTAGCCTCTCAAATCGTAATAATAGTAATACATTAATATCAATTGCTATTGCTATTTCCATAATATTATAATGTACTATGTATAGATTGTAGGTATTAGTGTTTCTTTTATGAAAGATATACAATTAGAAATATTAGAAAATGTACACCAATTTACTAATAATTGCGATTTATTATAATTAGTAGTTTTGTTTTAATCATGGCCATTACATTTTTTTGATTTCTGCGGACTGCCAATCTGTTTGTGTATACCTGCATTTTAACTTGGTGATTTTTTTGAATATTTCAATAATATTAATGCAAATAATACAAATTCTTAATGTGGTTTTTGTGTAAGTTTGTAAAACTTACTTTTGTTTCATATGTAAATGAGTTATGTTGGTATTGAAATATGAAATAAATAAATTATATTGCGAGCGAATCGAGTTGGTTTCCTATACACAGACGTTTCATGAGCTGGGCTGAAGTACAATCCTGGGTACGCCACTGCATTTTCCTATGTATATTAAGAGTGCAATTCACCTGTTTCGAAACTACCCCTTAAGTTAAAAAATATTGATAACGTAATTCGTGTCCTTTCTACACTTATAGTTACTTATGGTGCTACAACTAAAATAATTATCCGTATTGCCTTTGACGCTGGAGCCAGTACGCAATTGTAAATAAATTAAATAATACTATAATTAGATTTACTGCTAAAATGGTAACACATCTCCTATACCTTTTTTTCTTGTTTTAACCGACATCATAGAAGGCTCTGGTGAACAATGCTTCTCCTCTGCTGTCGTCGTTTATTGATGTTTACGTAATATCACATACAATATACATACATCTATACTTTTTTTTTTTTTTTCTAATTGATCCTGAGCCCGGCAACTGTGGCCATTAGCTATTAGTAGGTACTGTAGGTTTTTGTATTGATGGTTTGTAGGTTTTTGGAACGGTAGGGGGAACACATCATCATTGATGGCTATCGATCACAGATATTAAGAGCTCGTCTTTCCTTTATTATTTATATGACTTGTCGTTCGCGAAGATCTAATTCTGTTATTGATTCTTTATCCTGTAGCCGTGGGCCGTAGGTATTCGTTGCAAATTACAATCCGTGTATGTACTATAGTACTATACGTATAATATATCGTATTCTACTATTCCAGAATAAAACCACGAATGCTTATGCATCTAGTTGTTACTACGTTACCGTGACGGTCATCGCGTAAATATGTAGATATTATTTATTATAATATCATATTATTATTAATATTATTCATATTATATTATCTATACATCGTATTATAGCCTATAGGCTTATTGCGTATGGTTATGATATTGATTTATATTATAGTTTATTGACAGTTCACCAACAGTTCATCAATCGTAGTTTTCTTCTCGCTATTGGTTGCTCCACTTACGTTGTCGCGCTTGTTGGACCTTTTTTATTTATTCACTAAATAGACTTACTTTTATAAAGGGCGATTGTTTACCATTATTACCTATAAATATTACATGCTGGTTACATAATTTTTACGGATTTGACCTGTGTGACTATTACCGTGTCTTGCACTCTAATAAAAATATATTATATATAAATAATTATAATAATATATTATATGTCAGTTATTGTTTGTGTAAGAAATACAGCTGCACGTACCACTACCGCCGTTATTTTATGCTTACGGCAGTGTTTATATCGCGTGATCGATTTTAATCCCCGTATTCACAAACCTCCGGCATAGTATTATAAATTGTAATATTATTTTCATGTGTTCGGAATGCTCATCGACAAGTCCGTGTCGTTCGATATAGTTGTTCTTCTTTTTGAACATAAAGGTTCGTTCAATGAGTAAATTACATACATGCATATAGCTGTATAGTTTTCTACATATTATCTCAAATCATTTATCAATTTAAAACAACTTTTTTGAAGCATGTTAAAAATACCACGTGCACCTTAAATAATTTCAATATGTAAACTGTCATCTTCCATATTACTTAATACTTTAACAGTGATATCAGGCTAAAAATAAATATCCTAAAATCTGTTAGGTAGACTTATTTACAAGTTTTTTTTATTGCAGTATTTTTATTTTATTATTTATTTATTTTTAAATTATAAGTCATTTTTTCTGTGGCCAATGGATGATGGATTAAAATAACTTATACGATCACTATTCTCCCGTAGTTTTGTTGATATCTTACATTTCATGATTAAAATATTCAGCAAGTTTACCATCAAAATTATATACTTCAAGAAGGACTGGGAACTTGATGCCCTAAAAAAAGAAAAGAATTGCATTATGCCTCAAATATGTAAAGAAACGTATTTTTAAAATGCACTAAAAAATATTAGGTACTTTTACAAAATTAAATATGTACCTACATAGTACATATACATATATATTATTTTAAGTTTTTAGTAATATATTGATTTTTATGATGCTAAATATTAGGTATATTTGGGTTCAGTTTATGATCATTAAGGTAGACGTGCCTATGGTATTTATTGCCTGTTGGAGGAACGTATCGGTTTTATTTATTGTATAGAATTTTAAATGCAAGATTAGATCAATTTGAATTGTTTGCGTTCGTAGTATATGACATACCGTTAGAAATCAGAAATACAATTTTAAAATTTTAAAAACAATAAGTCCCCATTACATTTTTAATTGTGGATGCCTGAATATGATCATACAATTGTACTACTGCAAAAGTGTTCCTTCATATTTTATATTCTAAACGTAATAAGAAGCTGTCGGTTTAAAGCGATTGGGGAATGTTTCCTTTTTTACCTGATTTGTTACCGCTTAGTGCTTATCTAAATTTTTTCAATTACAGACGATGCTACCTACTAATTTACTTTTGTATACTTAATTATAAAATTTAAATGATAGCAAATTTCTCAATTTTTAATTTTTGTTAAATTTATAGTAGAAGTTAAAAATAAATTTCAAAAATGTTGATCAATTGGTCTACCAAAACTCGAAATAAACATCAACGATGAATTAAAACGTATTGTACTTCTATTATGTATACGTCAGTTGAAGAATAGCCTAACCTAACCACCTACAAAATAGAAATGCCTGCATCCAATTTTACCTTGAAAATTATATTTTTATAAATTATAAAAATGCATTGTACGTTTAAAAAGTTAATTGTATGTTATACTACAGAATATATAAATTATATATTAGTGATGGAGTGAAGGAGTTATTTTCGACCGTACAATATTATAGTGATGATTACATGTATAATAGTTACATTTTAATATTTGTGTTTTTAATTTTTATTACAAAGTAGAAATACACATTTACCGTAATACTACATTGTTAATAATAAAACTTGTAAAAAAACGATTGAATAATAATGTTCATACCGCGATTATAACAATAAACAACGTCAAAACATCTGAATATAATAAAGATGAATAATTTGAGAAATTATTTTTATACGTCAAACGTCAAGAACGTGTTTAGAAGAATTGCACACCAACTATACCAAGTCCATAATTATTTACTACGATGCAGCCATGGAATAATAATGTAATAAATGTTTTATAGTTTAAGTAAAGTGACGAAGTCATTGGCAATAATGATATACGTTTTTTATACACGGTAAAAGAAGTTTTCCAAAAGTTACATATTATAATTTATAGACTATAATATTATAGTCTATAGGTATACATAGGTACAACAAGTATATTGAATATTTGACGTGAACCGACAACGTTAACCTGTGTTAACTCAAACAATTTTCATTTTTCTGTTGAAATAATAATTCACCTGCAATTTTTTCTTATAATTAATTTAAGTATTGAATAGATGTGATCTTATTTGTTATTAAAATGTGATTAATTTCAACAATTTTAAATGTTTTAAATTTGTTATTTTTTTGCCACCTAAAACATATAATTGTACATTGTAAAAATGCACTTAACTATTATATTACATTTTAAAGTTTATAGATGTTGAAAAATAGTGTCTAACTGAAGTATTATTAAACAATTGAAATATTTTATTATATATTTACTCTACATAAAAATAATATGGTCGGTATTATAATACCTAGGTAGGTAGATACTATTTAATATTACGAAATGTTGCATACAATATTTATATAGCTTTTCGAATTTTATCATGTTTACATAGGTACGTTTATACATTAGCATGATAAATCTGATAAATCCAAAACTGCTGAAGTTTAATTTTAACATGTTATATTGAGTTAATTTACTCTACACTGAAACAACAAGCATTTAAAACTTTATATTTCTTCTTTTATAACTTTTTTTTATCATATTATCTAATACGTCAATATTGTATTGAATAATTCAAATCTATGTAGTAGGTATAGTAGCTATTGGAAGTTAGAACGACTAACATATGATTTTTTCTTACCTACCATTACACACTATAGTACCAAATAAGATAACAAAAAATGCCTTTTTTTTTTATTATTATTAAAATGTTTCAACATATTCAAAAAATGCCTATAATGTATTATACAAGAATAGTTTAAATATTAAAAATGCCTACGAGTGATAATAATATCAATTTAATAAATTGTTGCCTATTTACCTTTTACAGTAAATTGGATGACAAGTATATATGGTTAGATTAGGATACAAAATAGTTTTGTATACCAATATACAAGGCTGGGCGTACACTACTTAAAAAGTTAATGTTACTTTTCATTATCTACCTATAACTTAGTTTTTAACTTACCTCATTTTTATTAATATAAACTTAATAAATAACGAGTTACTTTAATAAAATCCAAGTAAGGTTATTTTATAAATATAATAAAATTGCATATTGCACGAACATAAACTTTTTATTATTTTAAACCATATTACTGCCTATTTATGTATTAAAAAAAAAAAAATATAATTTAACTTAATAAGTTATTTGTAAGTTTCCATATAACTTTAAAGTTTTTAAAGTGTTTTAGATCAACTGAACTTAACTCGGTTAAAAATTATCATTAACTTGCCCAGGCTTATCAATATATATGTAATTGTATAAACACACGTAGATTAATTAAATTAAATAAGTACTGGTATATCTGGTATATTGTCTACATAAACTTTATATTTTTGATTACTTTTACATTACTAGACTTCCTTGACCACTTATTATAATGTAACTTTCTATCAATTAGAATTATAGTACACACTTGTAAAATAACCTGAAAACCTCAGCCTTCAAATAATCCATCAAATATTATAACTGAACAAGATTTTTAGTATAATTTAATTAAAAATTAAGGTATCTGTTTTTATATTATTATTTGAGTTAAATAAAAAATACTATTGTATTATATCTATATGTATTTACAATACTATTACAATCACTTTGCAGTTTACTGATTTTGTGATGTTGAATAGTGTTTTTTATTATTTTTTTCTATAGGCTATAATTTATAGTTTATATGTTTTTTTTTTAATGTGCGACGAAAAACATCATATGAGTTGTGGCCCATTGTGTTTAATTAGCTCGCTCGACTTCAATTTAACATAATCTCTCCAGAAACAACAATTTCGATAACATTTATTTTTATATGAAACACACGTTTCATATCACACAAATGCATATCTTATAAAAATGCACTATTGAAGGTTACGCAGAAATAATTAATAATACTTATATTTTTTCTCGTAAACAAAAATAAGTTGGTACCTACAAATTTTTAAAAAAAATTTTAAGATGTACTCAACAAATAAATAACGATTCTGCAGTAGGTAGGATATCAACACTATTTCCGTTTTAATTATTAATCTTACTGAATATTATAATAAATGTATGTTTTGTTTCATTGTTATATTATGATGTGTAATATGTATATGTATATAGTTAATACTTATGAATTACCTACCTAAAATATTGTAGAGTTTTGTATTACTCCTAGAACATAACGAGTCCTATTAAAATTGTTTTGTATTGAAATATATTAGTTTCTTATCATCCATAATATAGAGTGATCGCGTTTATTTATGCTTATAATTTAATAATAATCTGGTAGTAAAAATATATTTTTATTGGTTTTATTACAATACTTGCTCTAAGCATTTTGAAATTATTTCTATTTGTGTCACATACATGTCATGTTAAAGTCTTTGCGTTTGTTTGGTGATGAATCAAATTATCGTATTTAAAATACGGTATTTTAATTGGTGAGATAAAAATTATAATACCCCAGCTTTCGGGCGTGTATATAATGCAAGAGTGGTTTTAGTGGTCAGCCCTTCCCCTCCAGAATTTTTTTTTATATTTTTATTATAAACTATAATTTTGAACTTGTAATTTATATAAGTTACAATGTATATGATCCCCTAGAAATGTTTTTTTTGTGTATGTGTTCCGTGTCTGCATATCACTTAAGATTTTCTAACATTATTGTTGTTCCCGTCTTACAAGTGCGTAACATGGCAAACTTTACGTACAGCAGATCTCGTTTAGATCCGTTATTTTAAAAATTAAGAGTGACTTGACCTCTTATACAATATAAAGGTAAGATTTTTATCTAGGGCACCTCATAGGCTCCTTATTATATTTTAATTTTAAAGCTATTTATGAGTATTTTAAGATATACAAACAATTTAAAGTTTAAAAATACTCATAACTTGCTTTGAAATTAAAACATAATAAAAAAAACCTATGATATCCCTTGGATAATTACCTCACCTTTACATTTTACAAGAGGTCAATTCATTCTAATTTTTAAACTAAACGTGATCTGCTGAGCATACAATTTATTGTGTTACGCACTTGCAAAACAAAAACAACAAATGTCCGTGTAGAGCCTTCTTAACCTCCGTGGCTCCGTCATTGTGTCATAAGTAGTCATATAGCTTCAGATTATATATCTAAGTGCAATATTTTTTTATGATTGAGAAAAATCACAAATTGTGTGAGGAAATAGGTTTAATATATTTATGAATCACCAATAATAATTATCGTTTACAATCATCACTAGCATAATAATATGATAGGTAATAGTTACCGGTTTTATAATTTTATCATAAGAAATAATTATATATTCATTATTAATTGAATATGTTTTATGTTTTTGTGTATATTTCAATACGTAATAATACAGATTATCAGTTATTAAACTACAGTGGAGTTGTTTAAACAAAATTAATTGTTAATGAATCATGAGTAATGATACTGGCAATGAATTGCTATTTAATAGTTAAATTATCAAGTATGTACTTTTTGCCAAGCTGAACAATGTATCTATATTACTATGTATATTGAGTCGCCATATGTAATGATCCCAAATAAGTATATCCATATTAGGTTGAATATTCTTATTAAAATATTATTATTGATTGATGGCAATGTTATGTTATTTGCTGTATATAAATTTAAATGAAAAATATAAACAAATAACAATAATAATAAATAACGATAAAATGAATAGAAAAAAATGTCTCATAATATAAATTATAAATCTTTTGATATTTTTCTAGTTATTTATTTAATTGAGTTACTATTGAAACAAGAAATACTTGATATAATAAATCGAGGATCTGTTAATTGACATTGAATAAATACTTAACCTTGTTTTGCTCAACTTCACTACACATAACATTCTTACTGGAACTAAAATGTATTTTGTTTTTTTTGCTTTTACAGAGAGCAGCCAATATTCCACACACAAATTTTGCACAAGGTGAGTACCTACAATGTATTAACCTCACAGAACAAATACTAAATTACTTAATTTTTAAATTTGTATGCTATTACGAATTTGGTTCTTGTTGTTGTTTATTTTAAGATGACGAAAATTATAGGTTATTTCATTGGGTCAAGATTATTAAAGTGTCTAATCTCTGACGTCAGTTATGTTACTTTAGAATCAAATCTAGTGTTAGTGTAAACCGCAATGTTATCAATTGATCAGCTTAAAGTAAATTTAGATTAATCATAATAAGCAAGATGCTATTTTATAAATTACAGAAATTTTTTTTACCACGATTGTGGAATTATTTTTTATTTGATATTTTAAAAACTTGATGTAAATGAAGATTTACCAATGGTTTAATTTATTTACAGAAGTTTAATGAGTAGAAAAATACTAATACCTAACTAATAAACTTTTTAATTCCTTATTATAAACATGGTTTTATAGTTATAAATTGTAATCTATACATCTCATACTATCGTATTATTAATCGAGATACTGTAGAAGTGTATATGTATGTTAAAATATCGAAATATTTTCGGCGTTTTTAAATTCTTTAGAACAAGATTTTTATTTTGGGGTTTCTAAAATAAATATTAAAAATAATTTCAATACGAATTTATAAATGCTGAAACTCGCGCGTCTTATAAATAATAATATAATATAGATAATGTAATACCTGTACAATGTACATAGAGAGTCTTAATGCATCTGTCTATGCTTCATTATTTTTAATATCTGGGGGGTCTATTTTTGAACTTACTCGAATCGTATTAGTGATCTAATACATCCATTTTCGATCATCTATTCGATTAAGTATACAAAATGGTATTTTTGAATTCAATCTAATGATTAGTAATCGAATAAGTAAACTAATTATTCGATTACTATATTAGGTTGCTCATTTAGTAATCTAATAGCATTTTAGATTAGTTATTCGTTTTTTCCTTATCACGACTTGCAGTGTTAAATGTCATAAAACAATTTTTTTACTACAAATTCTTATTTAATTTATTCTTTAGAGCATAATTAAATTAAATAAGTGAAAATTATGGGTTTATTACTTAATTTAAATCATCTGCAAATGATTAGAAATCTTATTGAAAAGTTGGAACTTGAAAGGAATGAAAATCGACGATTTTACACCGCTGAAAATGCATTGGACGGTATTAACTGGTTATTTAAATACATACATAAAACTATTTTAATGTAAAACAAACTAACTCACGATATGTATTAAGAATTAAATGATCGTCAGTTTATCAAAAAGTTTAGACTACCTAAACAGAACGTCCGAGATCTTATACATGAAGTATCTCCATCCTACTAGACGCTCTGCTATAACTATCGAACGAAAGGTATTTTGAAATATTAAAATAAAATTTATAATAATTTTTTACCTATACACGTTATATATAACACATTAAAACAATAACATTTGAACATAAAATAATAATTACGAGTAATTCGTTCGTTATTTTCGATCAAGTTCAAAAATAGACCCCCAACAATGAGTTTTTTCTCATCAAATATTTTTAATATATTGTGTATATATTATACTATCGTCTCTATTTCACCAGAGAACATGTCGGTTCTGCGCATCTCCTATTGAAACCGGGGTGTCTCGAGGGAATGCTCAGAAATCCTATTAACCCCTTTGATATAAAATAAAATATTTTTATGAATTTCTTATTCAAAAAAATTTGCATGATTTTGACGAGTTTTATCAAAATTCTAAGTTCAGACACTCATAAAAAATTACTATGGATTTACGCACAACATTTTAACTTCATTTCCACTAACAACTTATGAAGAACCTTATATTACATTTTTAAGTTTATATATGTTACAATATCATAATAATATCCATTTTATTTACCTAAAATGGTTTGAATAACATTTTATTATAGTGAATAGAATTATCTTTGCTGGGCAAAGTAGCCGCCTATGGTGACCCTATATACTGACCCCTATGGTGGGGTGGTGTCATTTAATAAACTATGTTCTATGATCAAAACTACAGGGATGAGCATATTCAAACAATGATCGTCAGAAAGTATATAAGTTTAAAGTTTATTTAGTTAATATTCTACCTGTCAACCCTTTTGATTATTTAATTTTGATGTAATGTAGAAAACTATTACTTTGGCTTAAAATTATTTTACGTCTAATATCCGAAGTACACAAAAATAATTTTTCCCTACATTTTAATTTAAATATATGTGCCTACAAACCGATCTAAATCTAAACGCTTTATATTCGATTAAAATTTCCTCGCCATAGAAATTAATTAATCCTGCTTACGTGACTTGATGAAAACTAATTATGAAAAGGTTTGATATATTTTAGATTCTGAGCTTAGCGAATGAAAGTATTATACTTACAATAATGTTTTTTTTTCTGTCTGCCATCAACATTTTGGGTAGTAAAAATGCTCGGATTTTCGACATCAGCATACCTTTTCTGATATAAAAGTGAATCTAGTTGGAATTTACCGTAGGTACCTTGAAATTTTTACCAAATATTTATATTATGTTTTCTCTATATAGCGAACATTCAAAAATTGAATAGAAGATTCCCAACGAGTTTTTCTTCCTTTATCAAAAAAAAAAGTTTACCCTAATGTTACACTGTTTAAAGACATGAGATATTTTCTTTTTTTATTAATTATTTGATTATTTATACAAGTATTCTAGCATGACACAACGTATCCGTATTATTTAGGTAATTTGTTAATAGTACAACCGAATTTCTACTTTTAATATTTAAATAGAAACTACAATCGTATTATGATAATCTTGTAACTTATTACCTACTTCATATAATGTACTCAAATATACTTAAATGAAAATATTTTCTCATGCGATTTCGTATGATTATAATAAAGCCGAAAATTATTGCTTACATATAAATTTATTCAATACGCAGTGTTCCTAAAAGTGCAAAACAGCATTTTTTTCATAGACAGCATAATATTCGTAGCATTTCAATGATTTTATAATGTTTGTTAGTTATACAATTGCATATTAAGACTTATTTACGTCTGTGATTTTATAACATTATTTATAATATTTTGAATTTATTTATAATGTATAGTTTACAATGATTATCCGCCTTTTTTTCACGACGACGCCCTAAATTAGATTCATAAAAATGGCTACACGCTTATAACAATTAATGGATTTTTGAAAAAGTGACAATTGTAAACCTAAATTTACATTGAGAATGATACCATCTTCACAATTGTTTTACTTGTCTCGTTTTTACCTTCTCGTCCTAACGCCATAATAATGGTATATACTTAAAAACATGCTTCATAACGGTTGAGGCCCACTGGTTTAATGTATACTTGTTTGAAGTACTTGCCTAGCCTACTTGAATTGAACAATAAAATATTATATATTTATTTTTCGGAACAAAACGATAATGTGTGATTTTAAATATTTTTTTCATAGTATACTATAATAATAAATTACATCCAATTTGATCTGGAAAATTAGTAAATTAGTATACAAAATCCCTTGTAAATAAAATCAAAACCATTAGCACCGTGATATTGAAAAATAAGTTTCGATTTCATCTACAAACCATTTTGTTGCTAATTAAATAATTTTTTTCGGTCAAATTGAAAATAGTTACCTATATATAAAATAATATTTATTATAATACATAATTTACACAACCGTTCATATGCTCGGGTACTCAACACACTAATCTTTTAAGATTTCACTCGTCGTATAGTATTCGTTTATGACTAATAGAACTAAAAAATTACTTACATCGAACTCTTCCTCTAAATGCATATAATATTATACAAATAAATTTACGAGTGTATGAGGCTACGTCATGCAATGATTTGTTATAATATAGCAAATAACAGACAACTTCCTTTCGCATACAACCTGATAATTAATACTTGATTTTAGGCTTAATTAACCTACCTAGCATCTACTATCAAATATTCAGTTTTATCGCGTACAGCGTTTGAATTTTTCCCATATTTTTTATTTACCATAATACTACGTGAAAATAAACAATAGTTAAATTTCAATTACGTATCAGGATCTCTTACCTCCTTTCTCCTATCATAGTATCTTTAATACTCTTATATTATTGTGTAAATTTTTTTTTTTTAAACAAACTAAATTGTATTGAATTAATAAAACCTTTTGAACAACCTTGTTTTAATATCATAACCCGAATTGTATGTATTCTAAAATGCAATAGCTACACCGCAAAGGCCAGTTATATAATTGTCTAATAAAAAAGTTAAACCTGATATCTACCTCGTTTTAAAATTGAGAAATCGAAAAACATTTAACGTTACCGAGACTATATATGTAAATTGTGTATACTTATATATGTTTATACATTATGCACGAGTGGCCCAAATTATAATGTAAATTTAATAATAGGTCAGATAATTCTATCATTGACGACCCAGAGCTCTTCACAGTATTGGTAATACAAAAAGTCATATGATAGCCGGAGATAACTAATGCAAATCTCAGTATTACCGCAGTTATAATCATGTGTTGTTTTTTTTTTTGGATTATGGTGTACGTACAGGTGTTATGTATGATAAAATACCAAATGGGTTTTTAATGTGCTCATCAATATTCTTAATCATCTTAATTTCGCAGGTATCTGTTATAATTTGGAATTACGTGGAAATACCTGTATAAAGTAAATACTAAAATTTTAATTCAATATATTTTTTGTTACATTACCTGACAGTAATTTAACTAGGTACATTTCAGGAGTTTTTTTTGTTTGTTTAATTGTTATACTTCAAAATGCAATAATTAAATAAACTATATTAGATGACAATTATAATTGTTATTTATGTTTGTCAATTTTGTATTCAGAAATATTTTATTTATTTATTAATTATTATAATTATCAAATACAATAGTACATTACCATTTCTTTAAAATAACTATATCAAATAACTAATACGTTATAAATCATCACGTTGTATTCATATCTAAATTGTTTTTTTTTTAATTGTTAAATTGTTAAAAGATTTTGATGACTTAAGCATTATGTTTTTGTACAAATTGAAATCTCCAATGTTAAAAATAAATATTTTATTTAGAGGACAATTTTAACAACTATATAAATACTTGCGTACAAATATAAAACAATTTAATTGATTCTACAAATATTTGAAAATTAAACTATTAATATTAAAACGTTTATTATAATCACTTCTATCTTTTATTCTTATTCTTATGTAATAAAATTATAATGTATTGTATGAACTATAAAATGTCAAATGGAAGATTGATATTTCTTTATCAGCTATAATAAAAATAATTACATTTCGTTATGATAATCTTATTGGGATATTATATAGTTGTTTTCTATATGACGTATTATTTAAATTGAATGGTTTATAAGGTTATTTTATGAGTTATTTTGAGGTATGAAATTCATATTTCTAGTCGAGAAAACGTTCATCTTATGCTGATTTTATTGAAAAATGTAATATTTATTTGATTATTGAAATCAAAATCCTTCGTTGCTTGTTTAAAATACTTATAATTATCACAATTGTTGTACGGTGGATTATTGTCATGGCATGTTCGGCCATTATTTCAATTAATCTGATTTTGCAATTTTTTGAAAAGCGAAAAGCTATAAAATAAAAATGAAAACTAATATTATTATTATCATCCATGTTTTTTGATTATTATTATTAATTTTTGAATTATAAATAAATAAGTATTTAACGAGAGTTTAACAAATTATAAATACATATTGTAAAATCAAAGATTTCTTAATTTCAAAGAATAAATATTTTACTGTAGGTGAAGTACATGTTATAAATGTATGTAGATATCTATAATAAAAAGTTATTTGAATTAAACTACCATGCTAATGATAAATTATTACAATCAAAAGAATCGACAAAAACAATAGTTATAACTAACCTATTAAGAATGCAAGAAACTTTCTTCGGGTCGTATTATTACTTGAATTTTCATTATGAACCCTAAGTCCACTTTTATAACAACAAATTATTTTGGTGCACTATATTCATCAACTCCAGTACTTAAAATAACATTGATGGTAAATAACGGTCCTGATGTATAGGTACCTCCGAATATATTATGTATAACTCTGAACTCTCGTACAGCGGGTGTTTACATAGTATTATATAATCTTAATTGCGTATTTAATTTCTTTTTCTTTTTTTTTTATAAATTACCTAATAAAAACTATATGGTATTTGACATTTTTTAGTCTCGATTACTGCGTATGTTTGTTTCGATGCCGGTTTTATGTTATCACAATATTTTATATATTGATATTTTAAAAGGAATATTAAAACATAGGCCTACTCGAATACTCGATAGTGTAAACGGTCCAAACAGTATCTAAATAACAAATACATTTTTATTATGCATCCGTAGGCAGGCTGCTGCACAATAGTGATTTACGGTTGTTGTGAAACCCGATATTATTTTATTTTATTTCATGTGTTTAAACATAATAATATATCCCGACCTTTATACTTACCAATTGTATTCGGTTCTAAAGTTCGCCGTTTATATATATTATAAACATACATATATAGTGTGTACCCGAGTTGCCTCACTATAATAAATAAATGAAAATGTATTCGTCATTGACCTTTGACGCTGCGCCGCGTTCGTTGCAGTGCTGATCTCGTAGGTGGTTGGTTACCTACATAATAATATTACAATATTATATTATAATATTGTTATTATTACACATGTGCCGGTAAATCACATACCCGGTCAAAGTCGATCGGGACCAAACATAATAATATAATATTGTATATTGAATTATCATATTGTTGATGTCTACGTGGGACCGGTCGCGCGTCGCTTTCGTCCCCTGGTTCGTCGGCCAGCCCCTCCCTTGCTCTTGTTTTCGTGCCGGTCGGGAGAAGGAAATGCCGCCGCCGCTACAGCGTCGGTGGCCGGCCGGCTGATCGTGGTGGTAGAACACAGTGGCCCGGGTCGCCGCGCTCCGTTTTTTCGAACCAGTCGTACGCGCACGTTTTTCGCCACGCTCGTTTTTCTCGCGCGCGCGCGCGTCAGGCCAGCACTGCACTGTGCTATTATACTGCCGCACAAGTGCTGTACGTTCCGCTGCAAACGTCGGGTAGTACCGCCGCTCCGTATGTCTATTCTGTTTGTAATTTTCTGCATACACGGCAAGATAATTTTATTATTATTATTATTATTATTATTGTCTGTTTACACGCAAAACCGACCGAACGGTGTGCGTTGTACACACAATATAGTTTTTAAAATATATGCTGTGCGTGAACGAATAATACGCGAAGGAAAATTTTTTTTTTATTTTGCAAGCATAGAAGTTAGTCGTCTACTCAGCGGGGATAGTATCCTATTTTTCGCGAACAATCGTCGTCGATATATATAATATTATTACTGTGGCATACGGTGAGACGCGTTACGATGGAAGTGGAGTCCGCCAAGCCGATACGTTTGGCGATGCCCAAGCCGCACGTGGTGTGCCACATCACGCCGCCGGACGACGAGCCAATCGCGCCGAAATCAATGCCGAAGAACGTGTACACGCTGTCATCGTCGTCTCGGTCACCAAGCCCAAGCAGGCGGTCGTCCCCGCGCACGTCGTTCTTTCACGACGCTTACCGTGCGCTTACCGGAACCTCGAAGAATAGCGCAACTCAATTGACCGCCACCAAAAGCACTGCGCTCATGGTACCGACACCTCAGCAGCAATTGCCGTCGGCGACGACCCAGGTGTCCGGTCACCAGCATGCGTCGTGTCTGTTGGACGTTCCCAAAGACGGACAGTTCCGGAACAGGTCAAAGTCGCTTGACGACGGTACAAGGAAACTGCTACAGTCCGGCTCGACTCGCCAACGGCTTGACAGCGGCGACGCGTATAAGATATTCGAGAGCATTTTAAAAGAAGGTATTAATAATAATAACATCGGAGGAGAGCATTCAAATCGAACTGCTCGGAGTGTGAGGGAATGATTGATGTATGGGAAGTGATTCTTTCGGTTCTTAAATTTAGATGACTGGAAAGTTCCTGTGGGTGGTAGAATAAACATTTTGGATCTCGCTTCACTTAAATTTTTTTGAGTTCGGTGCCACTGCTGTTAAGTATTGAAAATCAAACCATACTGAATACCGAAATCTACGAGCAAAGTTGTTTATTTTAGAGAGAAAATTTACTTCATCGATTTCAATATGTTGCTCATGAAAAGCGTTAACCGTGATTTCTAGATGATACCACTTGCCTTTTGGACATACTGCTAATTAAACCTATCAATTATTCATATTATATTATATACCTCCCCCCTCGACGTTCGGTAAAGGGTCATAGATTATTTGTATATGGAACCTATCTGTTGCTAGAGATCATATTGTATTGCCGAAATAATTATTTTGTTAATTTACTATGCGATCGATATATGCTCGCTAATCGAATGTATTAGTGTATTCCGCATGGGTGATCGAAAGTTTTTATTTTTATGATATAGATTATTTGCTTGCGAGTAGCGGGTACCCTCGTTCTTCTTTGAGTGATCATACATTTTTGTCATAAAATCCTCGATCAATCGTTTTTTATCAGTTATTGAAACAAAATAATATCGTCTACGCGACAACTATGTGTATATTGAGAATAATTATTATGTGCTCGATGCGCAATAAACCGTGGAAACATTTATGATGTCGTTTCGGGAGTATAAGTATCTATCATAACAATCATAAAAAAAAAACGAAATGAAATAATCGTAAATATAATGGAAAAACATATTATATAGAAGAATCACGTGTACCGACCAGTGACCGCCGACGTATTTATTTATATAATAAATAATAAGATATAATAATGTATATACTTATATGGTATAAAAGGATACCTACGATTTCGATGATTTCTCCGCATTCACTTGCACTCGCTAGACGCACACATATATGTAGTGTACCCATAGGATGTATTATACTATTGCTACATCTTTGCAGTAGCTAGTCACATACCTATATATAATTTACAGGCTGACAAAGAAAGTAATTTTTACTGTCTATAATATTATTATTTATTATATTCCATTCACTACCATCATAATATTTTTATTATGTTATGTCGTGTGCGAAGTCTACGCGTCTTTAAATAAAATTAAAAAAAGTTCACATCGATAAATAATAATAATGTCCATTGTGCGGTTTATCGGTCTAATTATTTTCTATGTATAGTTCTCCAACTGTGGTGGTCACCTTTCGCATAATATCGTAGGTTATATTGTGGTATAATTTATACGCATGCGATACAGTGACACGGAACATAGAAGAAACGTGTATTTCGGTGCTCACAGCGACCTTGAATTTTGTTTTCGATTTTTTTTTTTATTTGAACCGGTCATCGACGTACATCGTTTCCGACCCGACGGCTATTTGCACTCAATTCCGCGATCAATGACGATTTTCTATTACACTATAATATTATATTGTTATCACCTGACACCTGTTCACTATGTAATATTATATAGGCTTGACCGTCATACGTTATTATCCCTGGTTTCAAAATATTATAATGTATTTCTCGTTTTTCAATGGTTATGTTATCTATATGTCTTTTATTAATTCATAAACACAAATTTAGATGATTTATGCTAATGTATGTCCAAAGAGAATATTAATTGTTGCCTAGACCACAACGGTGATTCTAGGTTAATTTTTAAATGTGGTAAGTAATTTTCATAACAATTTTGCCATCAAAATTCCCCAAATAACATACACACAGGATTCACCCCCCCCCCCTCCTTTAGAAATAATATCTATACGCCTCTAGGGCTTACATCATATTATGGTCAATCAAGCCAGATGTCTACTACATGTACTTGAAATAGTGAAAACCCCTTATAAATATCACGTAACCATATTATGTAAACCACTGTTGTAGTACCTATGTATAGATTTTTCACTGGGCACCGCGGTGAAAAAAATGAATCGTCAAAGGCTCGTTTTATTGTATATATATTATGTATTTATGTACATAATCACACCAACAAGTAATATATTATGGCCATTGTGAACGCAAGTCCTTGAGCTTCGGTACGGTTCGGTTTTATTTTTTTTTCACTCCGCGTCGACCGGACGAGAAAAAGTAGGAAATCGCGGAATACAGATCTAATGCGATTGTAGCTGATATAATATGAAATGTGCTTGTGGTAGCAGTAATACACGAAACTTTGTAACTGGTTTAAGTGGTTTAACGCAACCGGTTTCAATATATATGCGGTAACAACTGATAAATACGCGTACCCGACGATGACGGACTGAGCCGTTTTCGTGCGAAGGGTAAATAAGTAATAACTAATAATATTCATAATAGCCGAGGATGTTAAATCCTATATCGCTGCAGTGTAGATAGGTACTATGCGCATTGTGTTTTTCTAGACACTATAGAACGTTTATTATAGGTATGCGCGTAAATCGTTAAACATGTTTGTTACAAATATTGTGTCGAGAAAATGTGCACGCCTTCAGCTGTCTGTGTGTATATTTAATTTTATACCCGCGAATTTTTTGTTTCTGAGAGCCGAGAGGTCTATAATTTTGTCGATTTTTTTACGTCTCTGCGTGTGTACCTACGTCATAAAATCGTGTTTGTCTCGTCCGCACAATTTAAATAGCTGTTTGTTCTTTAGTTTGATTGCGTTGACGTTTGTGTTTGAATTGCGTAAAGTCTTTAACATTACGACTTAACGTGTTATTCTTGAGAAAAAAAAAGAAGATCATGATAAAACTTGGTCATTATTCGATATAATTACCGTTGATAAAACGACAACGCATAGGAATATATATAATATGTGTGTGTGCTGCTCACCACATAGAGATTATGATATTATTAATTCGTTTTTATAAAAAACTCATTTTTTTTTCTTCTGTGATCTAGTTGAACCATTATAAATAGGTTCTAAGAATAAGGTCTTGGATAGATGTAGTACCTATGTAATTACTGAATTATTTAAATTATTTTAAACCCGAGGACGACAGTAACTGCAAAAATAAATTAGAAATTACATCATGATTTTAGTAGACGAAAATTCCTAATTCTTTTAATTTAATGGGAGTGTTAGAAGTGCTAAGTATATATTACTATAATAATATAAAATGCCGTCTATTGAATAATATTTTAAGCGTTTGTAACATTTTTAATCAAAATTAAATGTGACTGCCGCATTTTTTTTATTAACAAATTCCAAATCATTGTAATTTAATTATTTAGGTATATGGTGAATTAAAATTATTATTAGCATAATTCAAGTTTCAGAAAAAAAAATGACAATTTGCTTGTTCAGTATTGAAAAAATAACTTTATTTAAAGTAATAAATTGGTGGTTAGATTGGTTTAATTGGTGGTAAAAATCATTTACATTGTTTAAAATTTATTTGGAGTATGTTGTATTGATAATTCAGTAAATTTAAAATTTAAATTACATATATATTTGGTAGTGGAATTGTATGTATATCAGACTTTATTTTTTATTATTGTTACTTACATTTTATTTAGTCTACATTTTTTTACTAGTATACAGATTACTGACATAAATTTATATATGAATGGTTTTTCCTCTATAACTTTTATCTTTAAATCAATAGTTGTAATGTTGTGTTTTAAAATTAAAATTAAATGTGAGACAGTTCTAGTTTAACATTAGTTATCTGTACAAGGTTTATCAGGAAGATATGACCATTTTACATTTAAATTACATTTTGTTCCATTGTAAGAAGATTTAAAATATCATTACAATGTACATTGTCACATCAATAATAAGTTATTTTTTTCTACAAAAGTATCTTATTGTTTCCTACTTTCCTGTGTCATTTATATAATAATATAGTGTCAATCTTAAAATTATTTATAATACATGATTTTACTTTCACTTAACATACATTTTACCGTTTAATTGGTATTATTTGAATAATTTTTTATGAATAACAAACTATTTTTCAATTTATATGCATAAGAATACTGAGACCTTACATCTTTGATGTGTCCACATTTTTCTGGAAACTGTATAATGTTATTACTTATTATACGTTATCCATTTATTGTGTATTGAACTGTAGAAAAATATTGCTTTATTAAATATTGCTAGTTCCTTTTTTTTATTGATGCTTCATGTCTATGTCTTGCCCTTTTATGACATGAGATAATAATTATCATTCAAATTGTTTTCTGAATTTCTATGAAATTAATTAAATGTTTTAAATAAATTTATTGTTTGTTTTGAAATTAATTTGTTTTTGTTGTCTCATAAAATATGTTATCTTATTACTATTTTATAACATATAATATTATCAAAGATAGATTTTGCCTTAATAGTATTTTTATTGATAATCTTGTTTATCTATAATCTATAAAATATCTATAAAAATTATAGTAACATTTTCAAAACATAACATTTTAAATGCTGATTAAAACATTATATTACATAAATATGACACACAAGTCGTCATTAAATTTGTCATTTTAATTTCAATATTGTCGCCTGAAATATGTGCATTATGATCATAAGTCATGACCCATTGACATTGAAAGGGCACAACAACAAGAATAAATAAAATACATAAATAATGTTGTGATGTTTATTGTAAAATAAAATGATACTATTTGAATAATTCATGTTTTCCATAATTTTTGCTCTTATAAAATTGAATGAATTATGTATTTATTTTTTTTTTTTCTATCAACCAGGCGCTCTATTACGTAGAAGTTCTCTAGACCCTGAAACCCGTCGACTGTCCCTGGGCACTATATCCAACTCAAGGAAAAATTCTGATGGCCTTTTAGATCCTACACATGCGGCAATGTTGTTCAGAGATTCCAGAGGAGTATGTATTCAAGCATCTTTGTTGAATACTTGAATGGAATGTATTTGTTATATATTCAATATTTGAATTTATTTTATAGCTTCCTGTTGCTGATCCATTCTTGGAAAAAGTAAAAATAAAAGACCTGGGTAAGTTATCAACTAAAATATTAAAGTTACTTATAACATTCTTGATGCTTCAGTTAAATGTTCATTGCTAACTTTTTAATTTTTAGTCGAAGACGAAAGTCAGATTTTTGTGAAATTTTTTCGCTTCCATAAAACTTATGATCTCATACCAACCAGTGCAAAATTGGTTGTATTCGATACACAGTTGATCGTTAAAAAAGCTTTTTTCGCCTTGGTCTACAATGGTGTGCGAGCTGCTCCATTATGGGACAACAAGCGTCAACAATTTGTGGGCATGCTAACTATTACAGATTTTATCAGGATACTTCAGAAGTATTATTCTTCATCATCTTCAAGTATGGAGGAATTAGAAGAACATAAGTTGGATACCTGGAGAAGTAAAAAATAATAATTTATGTATAATTTTAAAGGTATGCAAAACAGTTTTTAATAAAAACATTTCATGTTTCAGACGAATTACATCAAGATCGTCCTCAAGAATTAATATCCATTGGCCCAGATATGTCATTATATTTTGCTATTCAAACCCTTATAAATAATAAAATACACAGGCTTCCAGTAATTGATCCAGCAACTGGAAATGTTCTGTATATTGTGACTCATAAACGCATACTACGTTTTCTTCTTCTTTACGTAAGGGTATTGAATTTTATTTTTTTTTTCAAATTGTTTTTTTTATTAAATCAGTAGGTAGTGGTTGTGTTCTATAATAACAAACCTTGTATTTATTTTACAGATTAATGATTTACCAAAACCAGCATATTTATCTCAGAGTCTAGAAGAACTAAAAATTGGTACTTTTGAAAATATAGAGACAGTGTCCGAAGAAACATCTATTATATTAGCATTAAAGAAATTTGTTGAACGCAGAGTATCTGCTTTACCTATGGTTGATCAAGAAGGTCGACTTGTTGATATTTTTGCTAAATTTGACGTTATTGTAAGTTACAATTATAGAATTAAAGATATTCAAATATATCTGATTGATGTTGTATGTTATTAGAATTTAGCTGCAGAACGTACATATAATAATTTAGATGTTACTCTAAAACAAGCCAATGAGCATCGGAGTGATTGGTTTGAAGGTGTACAAAAATGCCATCTGACTGATACATTATATAGTGTTATTGAAAAAATTGTTCGTGCTGAGGTAAAAAAAGCTTGAATTCATTTCTCTACTATATAAAATATTTTATTTTCCAATTGATTTTTCAGGTGCATAGGCTTGTAGTTGTAGATGCAGAGGACAAAGTTATTGGAATACTCTCATTGTCCGATATCCTACACTATTTAGTACTTCGACCTTCCGGTATGTTTAAATAAATGATTTTCTTGTAATTCACATATTTTCTTAATATTTTTTAAACTACAATTTAAAGGAGCTGATCGATTATTGAAAGCCAAAGATCTATATGAAAATAATGTGGAAAATTCTAAAGCTTTAAACTCAATCATGGAGCCAATACTATTACAATCATAATGTGAGCAAATATATTTTATTTAATCCTGTGACGTTATAAGTTGTACAGGAACAGAATTAATAGTCTGCAGTCATAACACCGGATGATCTGGTTTAATTTTATTTGTACAAGTATTATTTACCTATGTAGTATTATACGACAGCGCTTTAGAGACAACAAAATGTTCATTCTCTAAGTATTAGTTGAAAAATGTATGTTCAATGCCTTTTTTTATTATTATTATTATTATTATTTTTATTATTATTATATTTTTTTTTTAGAAAGAACTAGTCTGAATTTTTAATATAAATATTATTTTAATGTCTAAAAGTTCTACATTAAAAAAAAAAGCGTTACGTGATTTTTCAAATGACCGTGTGATATTGTCAAATGAAGAGCTGTTGAAATATTATATTTGTTATTTAATATATTAATAATAATATTTTTTGACTATTTATCTTATGTACATGTACATGTATACATTTATTACAAATTATTAACAAACCAAAATATTTTTCAATAGAAAATATAACCTATGTAAAACATTTTTTTTTTGTTTTCCAATATATTTTTTTTGTAGATTTTAAAATGTATACACGTGTGTATAATAAAATGAACGCTGATTGCTATAAAACATTATTTAAATTTGTATATTTTGTGTTGTTTTTACATGAAGCGTTTTCTATTACAATAATTATAAATGTTCAATTTTATTTATTAAATACTTATGGCATCCCGTGTCAATGCAAATAATCTAATGGAAAAACACTTATGTATTTTAGCAATTGCCTTAGCTTCCGCAGTTAAATTTTATACTTATACAAATTACCGATGATTTTATGTACAAATAACACATTGAATAAGTATATTCATATAATATAATATATTATATACGTTTTAAATATATTATTTAAAAACGAGTGTTAATTATTTTCTTTAAAAAAATCTTCTCTTATTCTAGTTTATTTTTGTGATATTTTCTTAACCTTTTTATTTCTTGTGATTGCAGTATGTCGGGCCCGTTCAATATCTTTTAAACTGAATACTTGACAATCACACATGATGTTCTTGCATAAATTAAGCTGCTGTATTAATATCTCATTACATATTGTTGATAGTATTACTTATCACCGGCAACAATAGCTAAGATGTGTTATTGCAGTATTGTTAATTTTAGCCTTCAGGCTACAGTTGTATCAGTAATAAAATGTTATAAAGTACTGGTGAATAGGTTCCTGCCTTACCTACTCCTGATTGGATAGTAGGATATAATGAGATGCCTTCCCTGACTTACAGAACATTTTGCCAGCAATCCGATTGAGCAGCTTCCTATTTCACGACAGTTGGAATCAAACCATAGGAACACAAAAAATATCAAAATATGATAAGATTGAGCACAGAAGTATGTGCAATATCAACCGTTTTATATGCTTACTAACTAAAAAGATATTTATTTCCTAATATTCAATACAATATAGTCATTTTTGTCCTTAAAAATTATATACAATTTGTAATAAAAACCAAAAAAGATATATATGTCAGTATCATGATTCATGAATAACTTTCCATGTAAGGGCCCGGCCCGATATTCGTACACCACTTAGTATGACTCAGTCAATTATGACTATAATTAATTATAATAGTAGCTATTTAGATAGGAACGTAAAACCCATTTACACTCTACGGTGAAAATACTGCTGTGTGCCCAGGCTCTAAAAGTAGCCGAAATAATGACAGTAGGTATCCCAAACATTGTCAAACCCCAGTATTTGGGTTAGAATTGAACCACCTTTTTTTACTGAATTTAGCTCCCCGTGGGTACCTGGTAATTTAGTGTAGTAGTTAAACCTTAGACAATACAAAACAATACAAACTGTTTAAACATTTTCATAGACATAATATAAATACATCTTTACCTATACAATATACCTATGTCTATGAAGATTTTAATTTCCGAACTCAACTCATCCTCTTTACTGCAATTATAACCTGGCCGCCCGTTTTGCACTGCTTTAGTGTGCGCCCACCATCGGCAACTGGCAGACCGTGGAAGGCAAAACTCTGGGCCCTGTCAACATGTATATTATTTATTCTTATTATTCGTTCTATATGTTAAGTAAGACACGCAAAATTGCCAGCGAAAATAGAAAGTTTATGAACAAGTGAACAGAACTATATTGTTTTGTATTGCTTGAAAGGGTTGGAGCCATTCCAGTCTGTTTAATTTGCAATTCAACTGTCGCCATCATTCAAAGTGAAAATTTAAAACGGCATTATAATTTTTAAATATAAAGATTTGAAAAAGATTTTTTTCACTGCACTACAATGATTTATTATTTTAATCTTTAGGACTCCAATAGAAAGTACTTGCCGACCCCTGGTCTACACAGTATTATTTATAATACGGTATGACAATAAAAAATAATCTAAGGAGGGAAGATGCAAATATGTAATAGTGTTCATAAAAGATAAATAATTAAGAATTTAGTAAAAATAACTTTCAATTTATTTTAATTTCCATTTTATCAATAACAATATTCAATAATAACATTAATATTTATTATTTAAATATTTAATAGGTATATATAATTTGAAGTATGAAATGATAGTACTCAATATTCGAGTAGGTATATAACTTGGTACTACTTAATACAGACAATAAGAATATAAAAATTAAATAATTGATATTGCTAATAATATAAATAATATAATGTAATAAATACATCATAATTTTTGAATTTATCAATAAAGTATAATAAATTTAACTAATGTATTATTGTCATTTACTATAAGCAATTAGCACTTAAACATATTAACTTAAAATAAAAATGAAAATATTACAAATTTTTATACATTTAGGTAACTTTGCTAATATTAGTAGGCACATAGGTATTATTGTATCATTATAAATTATAATTTATGGTTAATAATTTTACTATTTTGACCAACATAGTAATGTGGTAAATCCTAAGCGGAGTATCCATTACTTACCTCTAAAAATGATATAGGCCAATACCATTTGTATAATAAACAGATGTCTTCTTTTAAAATGTTATACCTATAAAATCTTAATTAGAACTATTATTTTTTAGTATCAAAACTTTATATTCTTTAAGCCCTTTAAGGTCTTAAGGATAATAATTAATAGTTATAGAAAATATGGGATTGATAATGATTTGAGTAATTAATATCAATGTATTACCATTTTACAATTCGTAGGCAAGTCCCTACATAATATAGTATATAAGCTGGAAATACTGATATCGTTAACTGCAGCTATGCCAATTTTACTTTACCTACATTAAAATGTAAACTTTATAAATATAATATACCTATGGGCTATGACCTATATTATATAATAGACAAATCAAAAAGGAAACGAAATACGTCGAAAATTACCAAGTAAGTGAGGATTAACGTTCGTTTTAAAAAAAATACCGCAAAGTGCATGAAAATTAGACACATATAAGTACCTATATTTTTTACTAAAGAGTCATTAATCATTTCATATTGTGAACTATGGTATCGTATTTTATTTTTTATAATTCATAATTTGCTTCGTAAAACTGCAGGCTGCAACGGTGATAATTATATGGGTACCGAGTACGAAATCATCGTAAAGGATCGATGTCGATGGAAAAAGAGATCCTACTTAGAGCACTGTCAATGGTCACTTTGGATCTGTCATCGGGCAGTACCAAGTCGGTGGAGGTCAGAAACCGATTCACACACCTGTCCGTGAAGTACGCACTGTGCATGCTCAGCCGATTGATGGTACGTCCGCGAAGCCTGTCTGACAGAACGTCTATCCACCGATCACCGGTCACCGTGCAGTCGCCCAGCACGACCGTTTCCAGGGTGCCCCGGTGTGCATGCAACAGGTCTTCCAGGAACCGGACGCCGACTGCATTGTGGTCGACCCGGAACCGCCGCAACTGCCCAAACCCGGAGTGCAGGAACTTGAGGTCGAAGCGTGAGGCCAACGAGCATTTCACGTACACCACGTCCAGCACGTTGATGTACACGGTGCCCAGTTCGGCGAGAGTGTACTGGTCCACCTCCCGGATCCGGACGCCGTGCAACACTAACGTGGTCAGACGATCGACGTACGTGAACCCGTCAGTAGCGTAGACGGACAAATTGGACGAGATGACCAGCGCGGCGACGTGTCCGCAGATCTCCGCGTACCTAGCGCACAAGTAGAACGCTTTCGCGTAACCAACCCGCTTCACCGGAGTGACCGGACCACCCGCGCCATGGCTGTCGCCGCATTGCAGTAGCCGTGCAGCGTACTCGTCAGACGGCCAGTGGAACATCAGCGACCGTTCGTTTTCGTCCCGGAAGTAGAAGAATTCGACATTCGCGGTCGATTTCGCATGGTGCATGCCTATCCGCTTTAGCGTGCAAGCGTCTGAGGCTACTATCCGCGACCAGCGGTCGCACACTAGCGGCAACGTCGCGACGAACTCGGTGGCGGACAGCGTCCGGAATACGCACAGCAAAATCTCGTCGGGCAGTGCGTTTATGGACAGTCCATGGTCGTCCGTCATCGTAGTATAATATTACTGTCATGTGCCCCGAGCCTGCGATTTTCTTTGACTTTTCCTCCGCCTTCCCCTTCCCAAATAATTCCTTTACGTGCGCCTGTGCGATACATAATAATAATTTGCATTAGGATATTTATTAGGTACTTATAATAAATTATTATATTGGTACCTATAACCTATCTATCGTAATATAATACTACCTACTTCAATACTAAATTGTGTATTATATGGCACTTGAAGTTGTTTACTACTTGCTTCGTTCTTATAATATTGATTCTGAATAGAATTTTTTTCACTTCAGACGACAAAATGGGTTAGTCAAGCCCAGTTCTGTAAGAATCATAGGTGCAAGTTGTGCACAGTACTGGGGCCAAGTGTGAAACGAGCTCTTAATTGTATATGCTCAAAAGAGAGGGCCTCACATTTTCCCCTCTAGTTACGGCACTGGTCAAATTCAAGTCGTCAATAAGTACAAAAATGTCATATTCACTAATGCATTATTAGGTACACACTATGTAATGTATAGTAATTATATGCAGCATAACCAACGCTATATGGTAAGTTTTTCTTTGACGTGTAAGATTATTAATATGTGACTTGCAGGTTAGTGGTTACTACAGAATAAATATGCCTGGGTAATAAAAAAAACCCAGGGTTATGTCAAAAAATAGCACCTAGGACCTAGGTGCTGGAAGGCAATGAAATGTATCACTTTCCGCCACTGCCATTGCCACACAATATATTACTGGGTATTATTTTCTTTAATTAAAAACCCAAGATAGTTGCTGTATCAAAGTGGAAAAAAAAACCTACTCCTAAAGTATTTGGCCATTTAAAGGTAAACATATCAATACAACTATTAAAGACTGTTGTACAATTGAGTTGTAGCTTCATCCAGTGCCGTAGCTCCGCCCAGTTTAAGTTCTCGAGTGCTTAAGCCCCCCAGAAATATCAAATTTACTATACCCGATAGTTTAGTACCCTAGTCCCTAGCCCTAGAAATAAAATATTGTAAACCTCCTCTCGAAAAAATTCTATATCAACATTTTGAAACAAGTCATTCTAATAACAATTTTGCTTATCAAGGCTGAAAGATATACCAGATAATACATACTTAATACAATAAAGGTATAGATATTACAATTTATTCGATTTGGCTATTATTCACACTAATTTATTGTCGGCGATAACATACCTTGACACCCGGCTACCGTTTCTCTCCATGACAAACATTATGTCTTCGTTAACTCAACCAAAATTATAGGTTATTGTTACTACCCTATCTTACTTTTACCTATTGGCTATTGACTGTTATTCTTTTTATATCCATAATCCAGTATTCACTATTTATACCTACGCGATGTATCAATCATATTATTACTATCATGGGCCATGATTCATGGCAAATGCAGACCGTTCAGATCGACTACTTACGAGTCACAGTCTAAACTTTAATTTATTTTCAATATATATTAATCAAATAACCTACCTTTAACCGTATAAGATTTCCATGCACCAAGTTAGGAACTGGTATACGTATAGGTACCTATTTAGTTAATGGATATATCTATTTAGATAATGTAAATTGTAAGCGTTTTCAATGCGAATTATAATCAAATTCACTAAAAACTTAACATATTATGTACCTATCGTACCTAATGAATAAGTTTAAGTTACTATGCACAATAAGCATCACACTTACAATATTAACTATCATGAATTCAGTCTGCTTACATTTATTATATTTAATTTTTGGTTTTGGTAAATAGACGGTAAGAAATTAATACCAAGATAAAATAACAAAATATAAATACATAATGTTAGTTAAATGTTTTAATGTTTAGCTTTTAGCTTTTAAAATGTTTAAATTCACACAAGATATCACCATATATCACTGTGATACACTGATAACTGATAACTGTTTACTGATACCATTTTATAATCTACCATAATTCATAAATCATGTGTAAATTGTATCTGTAGAAGGCTACAAACGAAATAAAAAAAAAATAGATTGCAGATAAAACAATACTGCATATTCTACTGCCTATGCACATCCTAAAAGGAGTTCTAATAAACATATTCAAATGATCAATGATTAACAATTTACTCAATGTGTTCTGTAGGCCGCTCCAGACACGTTACAAATGACCATGAATTAATATATACCTAACTTATAATTTATCATATCATAATATTATCGAAAATCTATGGCGAGTATAAATCATCGTCATTCGCCGGAGATGATTAACGATTCTAATTATTTCAATGAACAAAAAAACAATTAGCTAACAATTATAGACAGGCAGACAGCCAAGTTAATAAACAGTAATTTAGTTAATAACATGTAGTCACATACTATTTCGTTCAGTTCAGGTCATAATTTTCATAAAATAACTCAATACTTCTATAATTTGGTGATCGATAAAGATGGATGAAGAATTATGATACTGTACCATTTAGCGAGTTACGTCTCTAGTCTCTACGTCTACATATTATATTTGACATTTGTTTCACCCTTCCGGTTATTCAATATTTTTGTGAGTTTTTCAAATATGTTACAATAAGACACACTACACAAATATTAATTTTTTTGTTTTGGTCAAAAGCATCAATATTTTTCCAATCGTATCTAATTATCCGATTCCGATAATATTTTAAAAAATGTATTTCAATCAATAAATCTATCAGACAATAACTTTCTCACATTAAATAATTTAAGAACTCTAGGGATGTGATTTTTTTTTTTAAAAATTATTGTCGTTAAGAAATGTGTCGCTTACCTATTGGTCGAACAATTCGAAAATGTCTAACAAAGTTCCTAACAGTTTAAAAATATTTAACATAATATTATATAATAATATCCACAATTTTTTAACTTAAATAATTAATTACTAGACAAACTTGTCTTTCGATAGAACACTTTACACTATAGTATAATATCATCGCATTCAAAGTATTTTGATTAATAACTTTGATAAACGTTTAAAAGATCATTTGTGATTGAATACACTTAATCCATCAAATTAGGCCAGTATATCACCCAGGTATGCTTCAACGTTGACTGTTTATTTCGGTACAATTACCCATTTTTTAGTTTGTTGAATTTTTAAAATCTTGGTTTACAGTGTACACGTATAGATCGACAGGTGTATCTAAACACTGTGCTGTAGTTAGGGGGGAGTCTTAAGGGTTGAAGTCCCCGAAATATCAAATTTACTTTATTGTAAAAACTAAAAAGCCGGTAGTACTGTAATAGGCGGTGCATACTAGTGGCCTCCCAAAATATAAGAATTACCTCGCATCCTTATCGGAAATTATTGTAATTACTAATTATTATAAATATTTAATCATCGTGTATAAAATGGTCGAAAAAACACCTATAAATAAATCATGTGTTTCTTTATCTAATTTAATACAACAATTGTATGTATGATATATTATTAAATATAGCCGATATAGGTATAACGGTATTATAGTTGTTGACATTTTGTTGTACGATGTACTTACTACCCAGCCAATGGAGCCGAAGATCTGAAGATTATTTGTCAGAACCTATTATTTGATAATATATTTCATTGCACCTATACGAAAAATGGTTCTGAGCAGAAATAGCCTGGCAGTCAATAGCAATAGGTAAGTAGCATATTATATTAGTCAGTTTGGGATATTTTTCCATTAGTCATTTATTTTACTATTAGCATTATGGTAGATTTCTTTAATTTTTGTTGAAAACATTGCATAATTATAATATTAATGTTTATTTTTTTTGGTTCTACCCCCAAATGCTTATGAACAATTATTCATTATTTACACGCAGTCGCTTCACGCCAGTCGTGCAGTGCACACGTATATCGCTATCTCAGTGTTATGTATAACTTGGTTATCTTAATATCAACGGAATCATACGGGCGCTTCACCTCCTGAAGCAGCTAATCGTGTTAAATTGACGTCGCAACCGCAGATCTGCAAGTCATCGACATTCGACACCACCCTTTTCCGAGGATAGTAAATATAAGTTTCTTGTATTAAAACAAAAATTAATATAAACTATATTATTTCGTATTATTGTTCAAACTACAATATTATCAACAACTATTTTAATAGAATATCTAATTCTATTACTCCAAGGCACCGTCGCGCACGGTGACCTTTGGACTCCGTGATTAGATTAAACCGTCGCATTATGTCGCGTGGCTGTTCCAATATTAATAATAAACCCGTATCGCCAATTACAATTATAAACAAGCAACAGGTAATCAAGCAAAAAAAAAAGGCCTCAACGCAAATCAAACAAAAGATTCCTACATCATCAACGACACCAACAATGCCGCCCAATGAAACCACCAAAAAAACAAAGATATTTGCCTCTCCTAATCGCTATAGCGCTCTCTCCAACACTGTTGAATCTGACGATAATGACGTCCCACCTGAGTCTCTTAGCCAGGAGCCATCTGATACCACCACACATGCGTCAACGAAAGTGTCATTGCCGCCCCGCATTTTTATCAAAGGCGTATTAAATTACTCAGCCCTACTCTCCGAACTTACAGAACTAATCGGGCCAAATAGCTTCGTATGTAAATCGACATCTACCCATTTAAAAGTGCAAGCCGAAAAATCTGATGACTATAGAAAAATAATCCATTTCCTAAATGAAAACAACGCATCATTCCATACCTATCAGCTTCAATCAGAGAAATCTTCACCCCTCTACCCCAACTTCAGATATCTCCTCGGCAATTGAGGAAATTGGGTTCTCAACTAGGCAAGTCACAAATATAAAGCATCACCAAACAAAAATGGCTTTTCCCATGTTCTTCGTTGATCTCGAGCCTGACCCCTCTAACAAAGACTTCTTCAACGTCAAGTCAATCCTGCACACATTAGTCAAAGTCGAGGAACCTCACAAACGCCGCGATATTCCACAATGCCTTAACTGCCAATCTTACAGGCACACAAGAGCATACTGCTCCTACCCCCCCACGCTATGTTAAATGTGGTGAGGGCCACCCAATTTCAGTATGCGGAAAAACGCCTGACACTCCCGTCACCTGCGCGCTGTGCTCCGGCAGTCACCCGGCCAACTACAAAGGCTGCACTGTTCACAAGGAGCTCCAAAACCGCCGCCGTCACCCACTCACCACAACCAAACTCACTCAGAAACCTCATCTAAAGCAGCCTCTTCAACGCCCTGCTCCATCAACCAGCTCGCCATCTTCCAATCTTCAATCAAACACGCGCCCCAAATCTTATGCAAATGTAACAGGTAACGACACCACTCATAATCAATCTTGCTACAACCATTCCCCCAAAACTGATATTGATGTTTTTTCTAAGTTTTTAGATGAATTTAAATCTGTTATCAATCCTCTAATTACTCTCCTCACCTTTGTCATCTCCAAGCTCCTTGATACTAAACAAAATGCCTATCTCCTATACTTCTAACTCTCTCCTCACCCTTCTATGGAATGCTAACGGACTAAAGAATCACACTAATGAACTTTTCCTCACCCTTCAAGAAAAAAGAATTGACATTGTCCTTATATCTGAAACCCACTTCACCTCCAACTCATATGTCAACCTCTCTGGTTACGATTCCTACCGTGCAAACCACCCAGACAACACTGCACATGCAGGAGCAGCAATATATATAAAATCTTCACTTAAATACATACCACTCCCAAACTTCATATCTGACGATATTCAATCCTGCGCAATATCTCTAATAATTAATAATATCCCTATCACATTCGCAGCTGTTTATTCTCCACCAAAACACAAAATCTCCTCTGCCAGATTTACTGAAATTTTTTCCACATTCAACAACAACTACATCATATTTGGTGATCTAAATGCAAAGCATCTTCAGTGGGGCTGTCGTGCCTCAAACCCTAGAGGAAATTCTCTCCTCCAATCCCTACTAACTACCAACACTTCTGTCATTGCACCTCCAAATTACACATACTGGCCTAACTCCCGTCGAAAAATGCCAGACATCCTGGATATCTTCGTCACTAAGATTCCAAGAAATCTCCACACCCAAATATTTAATCTCATTGACCCTTGCTCAGACCATTCGCCAGTCATGCTTTCGCTAGACTGTCTTTCTCAAGCTAAAGTCAACCCCTCAGCTCTATCACAATTTCCAATCGACTGGGACAAATTTAGTACAATCCTATCTGAAAAACCCTGCCTTAAACTCCGCCTAAAGACTCCCTCTGATATCGATGAAGCAGTAAACCTACTCACAACTAATATCCAAACCTCTGTGTGGGACTCATCTAAACCTGTGCCCTTGCACGTTAAGCCTCCCCTCATCTCCCCTCCTACATACGAACTCTCATCTCACAAAAACGTCGCGCTCGGGTTATTTGGCAAAGAACTCGATACCCTATTGACAAATCCCATTACAATGCACTTACCCAAAAGTTGAAACGTCTCCTAGCTAACCTTAAATCGTAGTCTTACACATACTATATTTCTTCTCTCACTGGCATAGACGGCTCCCTATGGAAATCCACTAGGAAACTACTACGAATTCACAATCCTCCCCCTACCCTACGTAATGCTGATGGTAGCTGGGCATTGTCTGAACAATCTCAAGCCAACATATTTGCCAACCACCTATCAAACACATTTCAACCATATCACAATATTATCTCTCCAACCAAAATCCAAGAAGTTGAAAGCTTTCTTAACTCTCCTCTTCCATTGTATCCTCCTCCTAGAGCTTTTTACCCTAGTGAAGTTGAATTTAATCTTAAGAAAAACTCACCAAATAAATCTCCTGGATTTGACTTAATTTCAGCGGAAGTGGTCAAACACCTTCTCAGAAAAACCATAATTTTTCTAACTCAAATTTATAACGCTATGCTTCGTTTATCATACTTTCCTATATTATG